CCCCCCACCAAAGGCACATCAATTCCCCAATCTGTACGGGCTGAGCAATTCAAAACGAAGAACAGTGCCTTAACATACCACGATTCAGTCAGTATTCTAGGTCACTGATACTCTTGTGTTTCCGGAGAACGGCCTTCCTCCTGATTCGTAAGAGAGGACGGAGGTACTGGGCCAAACACATGAACTAGGAGTCGCCGCGGAGAGCACGTGTCGCAACGAAGCTCAACTACTAAACGCATGTCCATTGGACGCTCAAATCGATATTATAGATACGTAGGTATTGCAGTATTTATTTTATAAAAATCACTGCACTGTCATCGAATCATTCTGCAAATAAATTATGTCCTGTTCTTGTCCAGTCGTTTATAAAGTCCTTACAGTTAGAAGACATTCGAAGGCAGGTTCTATAAAGTTTCTAAGATAGGTCAAAATTACTGTAAAACTATTGCATATAATTCATAATTCTTTACCTAGTAGGTACCGATCTTATGTTGGTGAACACGATGGGACTTTATAATATTTAACATTTTTCATTTCAAGAACTTGAATAGTACATCAGTAGCGGCACATTGAAAGCTCGTGCACGTCACCTTCTCCACCGGGCTCGCTCGGCAACCGACCCGCACTGTTATCCGTTTCCAGGGTAACACGGCGGCCTAATGACGCTGAAAGTACACACATGTCCAAACATACTGACTGATACTGACCCATGCTACGAGTCCGAGCGAGACAATGGGACACTTCCTCCCCTTACACTGTTGACCCCTTTCGAACGGGCTGCTACTGGGAACCATAGAATCGTGGTAACGCTCGCGCACGGCTGATTCACTAGCCGTCGCGAGCTTCCACTATATAGATAGGTTATCCACCCAGTCGCAGAACGTCGGTAAAGAGGATTGAAAAGTATTCTCACTAGTGGGAATCGTCGCGTTGAGTAACTGAACAGTTTATGACTGTAAACAATATGAGAGCCAAGGAAAGTAATTGCCAAAATTAAGAGGGATGTTTTAGTGGCAACTTTTTATGTGGGCCCGACTAAACCGAATTGTGTGACTGATGCCTCTGGGTCTGAAGCCCGAGTGCGTACGGTGTGGTGTGCGTGAGACACCGCTCTGGCATGCAACTGATGCTGGTAACCTATGCAATCGTTGCCTCGAGGATGAAAAGAGCGTCGGTACCAATGGTAATTTAAAGAGTGAAGAGGATGAAAAAAACGGTTCCGCGAAACCATCCAGAAAGAGCACCAGAGTCACACGATATTGCAAGCCAAAGTCCAATGCACCCTTAAAAATCATTCCTAAAGGCAAAGGACGCCGTCACATCTTTAAAAAAACGGTATAGACTAATGTTCTTGTACAGTAATTTTCTATGATATACACGCTTGTAAATTGTGTATAAATTTATGTTATATTTCTCTATTAATCTAAAAAGTATCCTCGCTAGTATTGTATTTGTTTCCATCGTTTCAGCCTATTAAGGCACCAGCAGCTGTTGCGACTCCAGTAACCAGTGACTTTGTATTCTACAAAGGTTCCTATTTTCAAGTTGGAGACATTGTGTCCATGAAGGATATTGATGGTGGAATTTATTATGCTCAAATTAGGGGTCTGCTAACCGATCAGTATTGTGAAAAGAGTGCAGCAGTCACATGGTTACTGCCAACTACAGCCAGGTAATACTTTGAGATGATTCAATGTGATTCTACACTTGGAAACCATTCAGATTGGATATCTTATTGACAAGATTCCTCAATTGTAGTCCACCTCCAGAAGATGGTTTTAGTCCAGAAACCTATATGATTGGACCAGAAGAGGATCTACCGCGAAAACTGGAATCTATGGAGTTTGTAATGCACGCGCCTTCGGACTATTATAAACTCAAAAACAGTCCGTATCCTCCGCCACTAACGGAAACGGGCACTGGTTACATATGGACATCACTCCGGCACGAAGTAAGCGCCAGTAAAAAGTAATTTAATCACACAGTGAGAATCGCAAAAGTATAAGTGGAATCGATTCTTATTCTATGTAAAATAACTGGCTACTGTGCGGTATAATTGATGTTATTTTATCAAAACATATATTCACATGTTCATTGTTCTCTGGAATATTACTAGCGCACTGGCAATCGGTCATAAGAATTACACTGTACATTCAGTAGGATCTAGAAGCGATATTGTAAACATTATATAATTGGACATAATATTTATTCAATATATATTTAATACAGAATAACATGAACATTTAGCGTATCTGCTAGGTATACGTGCAATAGTGAGATTTTCTCGGACGAGCAGGGAGCAATAGCGAATTATTTGTTTAGGACTTATGATTAACTATGCACAATGGAGAGTTAAAAAAAATGCAATATCGCAGACAGTCATTATTAAACTGTTTTTTTTTTATAACTGTTCATCGTTGATAAATCTGTATTTCTCTCACATTATTTTATGTGTCACTTTGAAACACCTCGCGCAATTTTATAATTTAAGAAAACCAACAACTTTAATTCACTTTCACCATCTGAATCCTGACTTATCGCCGATCCGATCTGTGGACCGACAAAAGGATTAGTTAGTCTTGGCACACATGTCAATCCACCTTCGATAGCGGAACAGCGATGTCCAGGGATCCTTAGCTCTGGTAATGGTGAGAAAGACCAGGGCATGCGTAAGATGAGGCACTAGGCAGCATAGGTGCGTTCTCGTGTACTTGACAGGAAGAGGAAAAGGTCGTTGTCGTGGTGTCGGTCATGTTCGAGGCAGAGGTTGAAACCAGTCAGCTAGGAGCTAACGACGTCACTGCTGGTCAGAACTTCAGATCTTTGATTGCTTGCGGCAAGTCCGGCAGCTTCATATCCTTTATCTGCTGCGGTATGTTCATGTTCTTGACTGCCGAAACGGCGCGCGCCGGCGCTGCGGTGATTCCAGCCTGCACACAGGACACCAACGAGAAAATGGAAAAAGAACGAAACGAAAGAAAATCGTTAGGATCTCTTGTAAAAATGAAGAAAGTAATTAGCTAATGGGAATAATTCGGGACGATGATGGGTAGCTACACTGTAGATTATTTATTTAAAAAGTATTACCAGGTATACATTAGCATTAAGGCACTTAGTGTCATGGAATCGCGAATGTCCATGAGATCTTACAACCATGCGGGGCACTTCGAAAGGCGGGTTTCCACGCTATAGAGATTGGTCAAGGTTTGCACTCACGTAGGATCAGAAGGAAAACGTTTTTTTTTTTGTAGTCACTTGGTGAAAAATTATGAATTGCGGTAAGGATAAAATTTTACAATGTGGCCAGACCAAATGACTATTGATGTTTTAGCTTAGGGAGGAGGTCCCAGAAGGACTATTGGACGAGGTGAGCAAGATCGTCTTGATTTGTAAGTCCCCTAAAATTCATGTTAGCTCCGTCAGTTCTACCACAGTCAGGCTACTACGTTACATGCCAAAGCTAGCTACCAATTAACTAGTGCTCGGAGTTTAACATTTATAACATTTATTCCAACATTATACATATAACTATAAGATTCTTAACTTTAACAGTTTTTTTTATTTTATGAGTCTAATTTTTTTTTTTTTTTCTAAAGAGGAAATCCTTTTGTAATCTTTAACTGTTAAAATCAAGGTTCTTGAGTGATAATACAAATAAGATAAACCTTACCTCTTGTTTTTCAAGTTTGTTCTGATCCTCGATTCTTGTAAGTATTTCAGTCATGTTAGTTTCCAAAACCATACCACCCATAACGAGTTCATTGAGTATATAATGGACTTTATCAACATGAAAAATGAGGTCCAACTCACACACATTCTCAAAACACTTATCAAGTGTTTCCACAAATACTTGAATCAGATCTAGGATTCCTAATTCAGATTCTGAACTATCAACGCAAAACACAAAATACAGGGTGGCATAATGACGATATATCAGCTTATAGTCTGAACCTCCAATAAGGCTACCACCTTCTAAAAAATTGCAGACATTGTCATCTCTCTTTGAGACAAGTTGAAATGTCTCCTTAATTATTTGCTGCTGCATGTCCTCATTCTGAAAAGATATAATAGCCAAAATAATTAAAAAAGTTTATATTATTCTATGATCTTAAAACATGATACATAATCTATTGAAGTGAAATACACAAGCTGTTACTTACAAAGTACTGATAAAATTTAGAAAGCCGTGGCTTTCCATGGTTGTTGAAAACTAAAATTGCCTTGATCATGATGCAAGGATCGATCGGACTGACCGATTTTTCTGCAGATGATTCTCAAATTTCCAACATCGGAGCTTAGAACTCTTATCTTAAAGCAGGACAGGTTACAAAATTCTGTCAGACCGTGAAGGATCTCGCGCGAATGTGTTTTGTATAATCTTATAATCACTGGTGACTACTCGCAACTCCCCTTCCTTTCCTTATGGCTGACTCCTCCAATGAGGAGATCAGATGTGCCAGTAACTACTCGCAACTACTTGTCACAGTCGATAAATCATGAACTAACTCCACCGTAGATGACATACTCTCTTCCCTCTTTGAAAAGCGTCCACGCATTAACGGCTCCCTACTACAATCCCTCTAGTCACTAGAGGGACTCTACTCCCTACCGACCGCTACCGCCAATGCAGAGCTTGAACGTTTTTCTACGGAAGTCCAGTATTGACATTTGATTTCTTACTGTGACGTCTGAACTTCATGCTGCACACTCTCGTCCGTTTTCTTCGACGCGATTCAATGCATAAACTCAGTTTGACTGTGCTATTAGCTAATCAGACACTTGTGTTTTGAAGAAAACGCAGTTTATGCATTGAACTGCGCTAAAGAAAACGGGCCAAAGATTGATAGTTTGAAAATCTGCGCGCAATGTCATGGCGGCTCTAAACGAGCCCTGAACATGATAGCGCCCCTTCCGAAGATTGGCCAGATTCTGACTTGAGGGCACGGTCTTACATACAGGTCTTGAAACTTCCTCGAATTTCAGTGATGGGGGTATGGTCGCTTACTGAAGTTGAATTTAGTTTCAAACAGCGTCGCTGTGATCGAATTACCCTTTATCTATCTCACTCTACAATCGGCTGTGGGAGAGAGAAATAGGTACGGATCACTTGATCGCAACGCCTCTTGTCGTCATGAGGCGAAATGAAAGATGCTTCTTTAAGAAGTCTACCCCCTCCAAGACCGTGAATACGACAGAGATGGAGTGATCCTCCCGGTCCCCCGCGTCCCTCGTCAATACGATTACCCGATCACAGCGACTCTATGCGGCTATTCGGAATTGCTTCACTAAGCGACCCACCCCCACCACCAGAGTTTCAAAACCTGTATCTAAGACCGTGATAGTGACTAACTGGTGCGTGTCATAGTTGTCAAATTTTAAGTGGATCTTTTTCTTAACGGATTCATTGTTAAATGATTGTGTGATGATTGTGTGATGATTGGGAATGCAAGTAATTGAACATGATTGCGTGGAAAGAAGATGACATACATAATCGAAGACGAGACTGTTCCGCTTCTTAAGATTCCTGGGTCGTCGCAAAACGAGTCAAGTGTTAATGATATACAGGATTCAAAAAGAGGGAAAATATTTGTGATTGAATCTGTTACATGTAATTCTATAATGGAACGGCAGAACTCTGAATCGAAAATAAAAACCACTGCTATATTGTCTGATAAGTCAAAGGCATGGATCGATGGAATGATACCCCATATTCCACAGCTGAATGAGTTAGATCAACTAGGTAAACATAACGGGATTACAATTCACCAGGAAGATCATGATTCATATGTGAACCGTTCTAACAATACCTTGAAGTTGATGGAACGAGAGAAAATGAAAATTGCTGTGCTCTGTAAAAGTATAGCCAAGCCAGATCTTACGTTTGAAGAATTCAAGCTTCTAGGGTGCAGCAGCGAGGGTTTTGTTATTGGTAATTAATTAAATTGTTATTGGAAAGTATTCTTATCGATAAGGAACTACAATTGGAATGTCTAACGATATTGATCTCTGCTCTATAAGTTAGTTCCTTCTTGACAATAATATCCTCCTTAACAACTCAGTCTTGAAATCATAAAGATGATGTGTAGATGATATACGAAGGGTTCTGTGGCCAAGACTCCTGGGATTGTCGGACGAAGAACCTGTCCCTGTGGAGGGATTAGAAACAGTGCATACCCTATTGCCTGATGAAATATACCAGCAGATTTTGAAAGATGTAGCACGTAGTAGTGGTCACCTATCTTCGAGGGCAACTGAGGAGGAAATTGAAATATTTCATGAAGAGTTGACACAGTTAATATGTTGGGTCCTTCACCGGCATACATATTTGAAGTTAGTGTCCATAATATATTAAAAATGATTCTTTTCCTTTAACTCCAGTAATAAAATAATTCATGATCAGTTACTACCAGGGATATAACGACATAGCAGCAACAGTCCTAATAGTAATGGGCTTGCAAAGTGGTCTCTTCGTACTAGAAAGAATATCTCTCAAGTTTTTAGAACGATTCATGGAAAAGACAATGGAAAAAGTCAACCAGGAACTTTTCTACATATTTGCACTATTAGAACGTATCCATCCAACCCTTTTGGAACACCTTGAAAAGTAAGTCTGGTACACTTCCGGTATCTTTGTCGACCATGGGAATATAATTTTAAGAATGGAAATATCTTTTTGCAGTGTAGAATTATTTCCTCACTTTGCATTGGCCGAATATACCACATGGTACGCACACAAGTATGCCGAGAACAGAAAACTTTTACACAGACTGTTTGATTATTTCCTTGGTAGTCCTCCTCTAATGCCACTCTACCTCAGCACTGTAATCGTAGCGTACAGGGCAACGGAAATTTTCGATACTACACCCGATATGGGACACACTCACAAAGTACTTTGTACAGTAAGTTACCTTATAATTATTTAATACGAGATTAATACATCGTACAAATAACAATACAAAATTTTGTGTCAATTAGCTTCCTGAAGATTTGCCATTTGAACAGCTGCTGGTCGATGCTACAAACCTCTATCGGCAGTATCCGCCAGAGTCAATAAGTAACGACGTTCGAGATTATGACAATAAAAGGAGATGTAAAGAACAAGAATGGAAATCAAAAGCAGAAGCCAGTCGCAAAGAAAGAGAAAGACAAAGGCAACTACGTGTTGCAATTCCTGCAAATAGATTACCTTATCGTATAAGGAGTTACAAAACCATCACCGTAGTGACCATCTTAGCTATAGGACTGTACGCCTTCTTGAAAACGTCCTCTGGTATTAACTGACACTAACTGAGCTTACCTTAATTGGAAATAGAATTTTTTACGTCCCTTTTTCTAATACCATTTCACCGCCGTCTCTACGATTCGCAGTTTTCATTCGTGGGATACATTATTTACAGATTTATGTCTCGAAATATTGTGTCAGAGAATTTATAGAGACGAAAGTCGTACGTCCCTTTTTACATACTGCGTACGATTTTTTTTTTATTATAAGCTTGGTGGTGCTTGAGCAAAAGCGTTTTGTGTGGATTATTTTAATGAAAAGTTTCAAGCATTCCTATGCTGCCTTTATGCTGTGTTCTTACGAATGATCCTAATTCCCAAATTCACATGATAATGGCAAGCGTAACTAGAAATGAGAGATCACAAGTAAAACTGTGATTACAAGTTTTAGTCGTGCGATTTCAAAATGGAACGCGTGCCAAAGAGGACTCTGTGCTGATGTTGAAGATAATGAATCCTATACACGCGTATAACTTATTGTTAGATCCTAAGGGGGCGCCTACTGACTTTGAGTGAAAATGTTGTGCATATTTATTTAAAACGGTAATTTGAAAATGTATATCTATAGTATAGTAGAGGAATATATATATGATATTAATATAAAACTTAATTTTTTTAGCACGACGTTCTTACTGTATCCAATTGCAAAAGTTTCAGAGTTGGATAGAATTAATTTAATTTCCATTTATTCCATGACATTGCATAAGATCATATATTATTACATTAGTAGTATTATACAATAGTATATTACGGCACCATAAGGTATATATACAACATATTCTTTAATATGGACCACTTTTTTCACTTGCATACACGTTGTTAATCATGTTCAAATGAAATAATATCTTCCTAGACGTATTTATAAAATAATTTGAGATTTTAGTGATAAAACTAAAGCAGGCATTAATCATTGAAATATTCAGAGTAAATCAGTTAAAAGTTAGATTTCTTACGAGCGTGTAATTAACAATAAATTGGCACTATAAATAGTAAGCTCGAACGGTCGACATTATTATAAGCGGCAGTTCTACATGCTCTGATGTCTAATGACTTAGATATTTTTTTATGTCATAGCGAGTAACTCAAATCGCACTATGTTGATCGTAAGTAAACTTATTCAAGTTTTTGTGATCATGGAGGATTCTTTGTTAATCTCTAGAAGATTCTAACACTTATTGACATGAGTTTGCAGCGAATCTACAATTTCGTTTTTGAGTTTCACTTCGTCAAGTATGACAATATAGACTAGGTTTCTAAACATTCAATATAGTTTTGATATAATTTAATACATTGACATCCCTTAAGATTTGCATGTGATTAACACCCGTGAATGGCTGATGATAAATTTTTCGACTTTGTTTACCTTGCCAATGTAGACAACCTTCTAGACTTCTTAAATTAACTGTCCCGTCGCCATCGCCAGGAATTAATTGAGGATATCCGTCGACCGAGGTACCCGGTTTGTAATATAATCTGGAAAAGAGTTGAATGCGTAATATTAATGAAAAGATTAAAGGAGTATCGTTAATTTGATCAAGGAGAAATTATGTACCGTTCCACCGTGTCCACTTTGACTCCGTGTAAGCAGTGCAACTCTACGCCTGGAGCAGTAAAATCTAACTGATATTTTTCAGTATCTTTCCGGAACTCCCAGCCATTAGGAACGTTTATATCTCTGTATGAAAGCAATATCATTGAGGATTTTTAATATAAAAATTTGGATAAAATCAAAATCATTACATTAAGAAGTCTTTCATATCCTTGAATGTATAATTCCTTAGTTGCGTTTGTACCAGGACTTCAGTATCCTTCCAAAATAAACTCGAGGGTAACAACCATCCCAAGCTTGGACACGTAATTTGTTGGTCCTTCAATGTGCTTTCGCGAAGTACATATGCGCCCAAATCATCCCCTGGAATGTTCCATTTGTAATTCAATCGGAGCGTTCGCAATGAATTGATTTGTGTAGTTATTCGCAAACAGTGAACTGTTTATATTCGTTTTAAGTTCCTAATGCAAAAGGAATATGTGTTGTCATGAGACAGTTTAATCCCACTTATCTATTTCAGCGTTGTGGTTCGTGGAATAATTAGATAAAGTGACAATGAATGGGGGATATTCAATAAACAAATAACTTACCTATAGCAAAAACTTTAAGAGCTTTCACAGAACCTCCCCATACTCCAGCTAATGTTACCAGGCAATTTATATACTTGTCTTTCCACTTTTGACTTTGTTGTTGTAGGAAAACAAGAGACATAGGTCCTCCCATACTGTGTGCTATTAATGTTACTGGCTCTTTATTATTCATTAAATAAGTTTCTTCGATTAAATCTTTCAGTTTCACAAAAAACTCTCCATTCTCATCTATAAAGTGGAACTTTCATATTAATTACAGTGCATGAGGAATCATTCAATTTCTTATAATGTTATAGTAACATACGGGGTCCTTTTCTGAAGTCATAGGGTGCTCCACGAATAGAAACATTTCTTACATATCCAAGCTCATTCACAAGCATATTACCAATATCTTTAAAATAGGATCCAGGGGATGCTTTACTAGGATCTAAGTATTCTACTGTATATGGATTTCCCCATCCTGGTATTCTTATATCAACCCCATCAGCATTTCTTGTTGTTCTTGTATTATTGTCGTAATACAATTTCATGTTATCGATCTGTAATATGGATCAAATGAAATTCCGAGTTTCTGGTAGAAAATGTTACCTCTAGAGACATTGAAGAAGATTTACCCAACAATCTATTATGATTGGAACCAACAGCTCCAGATTAAGCCATATGTTAAAGTAATCCGCCGAAGTTTTCTCACAGAGATAATGAACTACAGTTGTTTTATTGACTTTAGCTTCAACCTGGCTCCCACCATCTCCTGGAACTGAATAAGAAAAGATACCGTAAACCTTAAGAATGACTTGCAATTTAACTGTTTCCAACGTATCTCATTATAAATACTCAAGTAGCACGTAACAAAAAATAACTCACTGAATATAACTGGTGATCGTTGCTTCCCTCGAAAACGCCAAAGATTTGCTACATGTAAAATGCCAAACAAGATAAAAAGTTCAAGAATTAATTTTGAGTTCATTGCCAGCTGAGGCAAATAATACAAAAAGTATATAGGTAAATAAGTATATTTTAAATAAAATTAGAATTAATAGTCGTTCTTTCTAGGTGCACTCATATATCAACACGTTCACTATTATTCTCTTCTTCTACTATTGTGAACAACTTTCCGATGTAAACAGATGTGAAGTTTAACTGACAATGAGAATCAGCTTCACGGACTCACTGTTATTGTAAAGTGACGATCAGCTGGTGACGCACATTGACTTGCACACGAGTATTGCGCGGTGTCGTCAGCTGAGCCAAACAACCAATTAGATTCTTTGAATATTCTCTGTGATATCTAGTGGGAGTTCGTTTCTGGATCTTGCCATGTGCTCGAACCACTGATGCTTGCCATAGTGAACTCGTATCCAGTTAGTATATATATCAGTGGCTCGAACTGTCATTTCCCGATTAGAAGATATATTTATCTGCGCTTGATATTACTGGAGTTTATACCTATGTAAAATAGATAAGCTATATCAGATTATAAACATACTGAAAAGAAATGTGGTTCTAGGTCAAGTATCTGTAAAATTTTGCTTTCTTACATTAGAGGCATTATTTTGTCCAATTTCTGTTATTTGGTGTTGCAAAACAAAGTCAGACTAGATTTGATGTTTTTGTCATCTGATAAGCTTTATGTGTTAATCACTTGTTTATGACACTAGAAAAAGATTATGATGGTAAATACTTCTAGATGAATAACACATTTCAGTCATCATATTTCGAACGATTAAAAAATAGACTATTATCTGGTGGATGAATGATCAAAATAATATGTCACTGTACTATCGAAACACTCATCATGCTCCGTTTTCCTTTTAAGATATTAATGAATATTCTAGAACAATTTTTAACAAGGATTAGACAAATATTCTCGCTGCAGTTATGATCGCTGGTAATACTCTCGTTAATTAAATCGATAGGAAATGTTTGTGGATTATCGGGTGAAGACGTCGCATACTTCCACCAGCGTCCCTGTTAAATCAATCGTCGTCGGTACCTCGTGGTACCTTCCACTGGGTAACACCGAGTAGGAATGAGAATCTAAACGAGCATCGTTATCCTCCAAATTCCCTTTCCATTTGAATTGACGCATGCGTATGATTTTATTATTCTATTTTTTAGTCTCGTCGAGCATCCTGATCTGCAAATAAAGTGTAGAACGTGTCAAACGCAGTTGCTGACGAACGGAACGAACTTATTGGAGACTGACGGCATCTGACGGAGTGAAGGTATAGATACAAAATACAAAGGAGAATGGCTGACATCAAGCAAGATCACAAGAACGAGGATGGCGAGAATTATGTTGTTGCGAACAATACAGACCCGAAGAATATGCAAGAATTAACGCAATACGTGAGTAACTATTTTAATTTTCAACTCGAGGAATCGTGAATAATTTTCCTGCTTCAAAATTCATGCTCCAAACTCTATGTCTACAGAGTGACAATTTTGTTGAATATTTTTTAATAATTTTTAATGTAATATTATAATTACAGGTGCAGACGCTACTGCAGAATATGCAAGACAAGTTCCAAACGATATCTGATCAGATTATAGGAAGAAATATCCTTTTCATATAGATTTATGATATATTAGTTTGTCAAACATCAGCGACATAACCTATAATGCAACGTTAATGATGTTTGTTAATTCTTTTTTTTCGTACCATTACGCAAAGAAGGGTGCATTCCTTTTGGAGCAAGTCGTACGACTGCTCTTTGCTTTTTGTTTTTTTTAAATTTTGGTATGTCCTTAACAAGTATTACTAGATGAAATGGGAAACAGAATAGACGATCTCGAGAAAAATATCGCCGATCTAATGACGCAAGCTGGAGTCGAAGGAACAGATAAATAACAACCACAATAATCCTAAACACTACAATTATTACGAAATGCATGCCATATATATTATGGTATAAGCACCAAATGCAATCGCTACGGAATATAATAATGCAAACTTTATTTATATCATATATCGTTCATACTATCTAAGAATAGATGCACCAATCAAACCTGGCTGACAGTTATTTAGGCTGTCAAGGTCAGTACGGACAAGAACCCAGTAATAAAATTAAGTGACGCGTCAGTGTCACGAATCTATAAAAGGAAGCGGCATATCATTATTTATCATTCCGATATACTGGTCTTGTCCAACAAATTCACATCTCTGCATGAAGTTAGACCAAATCTGATAAAACTACCAGGGAACATTAACACTAAACCTACTGACACTTCTTTAAAACCTAATAACATAATACGTTTCATTGTACTATATACGGAATTATATTAATTTACATAGAATTTTGGTTTTAATAAAGTTCCTTTATACGAGACTTTGTATTTATCTGACGTATATACATTTCTTCAATTATTTTTTTTCAATATGTCCTGCTCACAGCGTGGCCTGATTAAAGACAAAAAAAAATAATACCTGGCCGCGATCGCCGTACTTCATAGCTGCGAGGACCAACGAACCCGCATTGACCCGCATAGACCAGTGCGTTTTACATCGTAAATATTCGTTTCCATATATTCAGAGTTTTTAAGTATTAATATTTTACTTTATCGATTTAATTAATTATTTTAATGTCTGAAATAACATCTACTAAACATTTATTAAAAATGCTGAAAGATACGTCGATCTAGAATTAAAACGCGATCATCAGCTCGATCCAGAATCCTTTTTAATGTACATCTATGTCGCCTTTATGTCCTAGGAGTCCCGGATAGCTACCTTTGTACAATACAGAAGAATCTACCAGTTATAAATTACTTACGAAACTGATTGTCAATAAGACAAAACTGCTTCCGACTTCCTAGTCTCGCTATACTTATAACTAATAGCTATTCTTAAACGACTATAAGTGAAGTTCAATTAATTCATATACTTATCTATTTACAACCTACGTACAAACAATCTAATTCTTTAATTTTACTCAAAGAGATATTTCATTAGTATTAGAAATTTTCAAATATATATTTTGTACATAAACTCTAAGCAGCCGGAATCTCAAATGATGTCTCAAGCGGCACCTCGAAGCTGAATTATCATTTGCGTATGTACACATATTTTTATTTATTTGAACGTTAGTTTCACTGTATTCTTAATACCGTCACATGGATCCTCTGTGTATAAGAGAAATTGATCAAGCGTCTGATCTTGCGCTGTAGCGCTTTGAATAATTTAAATACTATTCAGCCGAATAGAAAAGCAGTAACAAATGTCCCACAAAATTGCACTTATTGATGTCGGGTAAAAATATTTCAACAATAGGCTTTTTCAACAGTTGTTGAGAAGTTCTATAGTTCCCGGGATCGTTCTAAGGGTTGCTTTGGGAAACCGCGGTGAGTAGCGGAGAACCTCTGCCCGCCAAGCTACGCGTCCGTGTTTCCGTTTAGCTCGGCTACGACGGGATTCGTATTGTCGACGGAGGCGATGATCACAATATCCTACTTCCGGACTCGCCGCTATGATTTAGCGCCACGATTTTAGTAACTCCGAAAATCGTAGCGTTGTGCATCTCCTTACTGATCTCTGTCTTACATAAGACAGTCGACTATCTTCGTTTTACCTTTATCCACATTTGCAAAATGGCTGCCAGCAGAATTAATATTATTGTAAGTTCTATTTCTTTAAATTCCGTACAATAATGACATGACGTTAAAGAAAAATATTGGTTACAAGTATGGGAATGTATTATATTTCAAGTGTACTAGAAAAGATATAATTACAATCGAAATTATATTTTCCTTCATAGTTCTACATGACAAATTTGATCATTTAATTACACAAATGTTTAGATTATAAAGCACAATTAATTGATTTTCTATTAAAATTTCAGGCGAGATCATTCTCCTCTTCTGCTGCTGTACAGCAGATGGTCAAGGTACATATTTACTGCATTGATATTTTTACTAAATTTGTTCTTATGTAATAACTTTGAATTGATCAGTTGTGGAAATTTATATAGCAATAAAAAGAGCACTGATGCAGATATTACACATCTAAAAATTGATGAATGCATGTTAATATTGAGATCTCATGAAACAGTGTTTCATACGTATTTCTATTTTATTTAGCCGCCAGTGCAGGTGTTTGGGTTAGAAGGCCGTTACGCTACTGCCTTGTTCTCTGCTGCCAGTAAGCAGAAATCGTTGGACGTTGTTGAGAAGGACTTAATTAAGTTTCAGGTATTCATGCTATTATATTAAAATATAAATAATAGTATGTACAAGACACAAACAGATCACAGTGTGTCTACGTATATGAAAGAATTTGAATACGAAGCTTTTAAATTCTTTAAAAACAATTCTTATACCTTTTAATAATCATATACCAATATTAGAATAAATATAATTTTTATCCTATGTTTATAATGTCTTGTCAGGGTCTCTTGAAGACAGACGCAAAATTAGCTGAATTCGTGAAGGATCCTTCGATAAAGCGCAAATCCAAGGTTGAGGCCTTTAAAGGCATTGGTGGAGCAGCCAACCTGAACCCAGCCACTACAAACTTGTTAGCTCTTCTCGCAGAGAATGGACGTTTGGGAAAGATTAATCAAGTAATCAATGCATTCAAGGTCATCATGGCTGCTAATAGAGGAGAAGTAGTTTGTGAAGTAATCACTGCAAAACCATTGGATGCTGACAGCAAAAGCAAATTGGAGGGTGCTCTTAAGTCGTTCCTTTCCAAGGGACAAACGCTTCTGCTTACAACCAAAGTTGATCCATCCATCATTGGCGGTATGGTTGTATCCATTGGTGATAAGTACGTCGACATGAGCATCTCTAGCAAAGTCAAGAAGTACTCTGAGCTCATCAGTGCTGCAGTTTGAGCAATACGTATGTGCTTCATTTTCTAATTGGATTGATCAACCATCCACTACTTTCATGTAGTTAAGTGCAATCGCAACGATGCACATTAAAAATAACTAATGTTATTAATAAATGAATATAGGAATAAATGATTTATTTAATATTCCGTTAAGAACTGTTCTTTACTAGTTCTATGTGCTCACACATAATGACGACGTTGTAAATAAAAAAATAGCATTACAGTACGAAACTGACTTTCTAATCTCAAGACTTAATCGAGCTGTAACGTAATAACTCCATATGTGTGAATACATAGAATTACTGATTAACATTATTTAAATCTCTTAAGTTTTTGTTGATACAGAATACGTAAATAATCAGAAAGAAACGGTTATCCCTGTCAACAGCCTGCGATTTACACGTGTCACTGACAGTTACACCTAAACTTGAACACAATCCTGTGATGGGATTGTATAAATTTGATTGAACAAAAAAAGATACGCATAAGATAGAGTTTACATTTTAAAAAACCAAGTCCTTTTCAATCAAAGAATCTATTACCCAAGCAAGAAGTGACAATGAATGCCATAAAATCATCCTGACAGAGTTTACACGGATTTCACAGTTAAAAGAGAAAAGAACAAAATAACCAAGAGGCAGGCAACGTGTTTAATATAAACAAAATTGTATTTGCTTTTGTTCTTTTAATCCTATACATTATCGTTAGTTTAATATTGTTACAAGTTTGTTCTTTTTTTGCTTCTTTTGACATAAAAATTATGTACTTATTGTACGCGCACGCACAAGTTTAATTCATTCGAACGTCACGCAAAGAAAATCCGTACCGTGACTATTTACCCATCGAGTTTCTCTTAGTATTTTCTTTTCTAATTAAGAGAACTTCGATTTCCTTCATGAATCCTCCGTGATAAACTTCATTCGCAAGAAACATAGTAAATACCTCGCAGAGAGTGTCGTAGGCGAAGTACGTGCCATATTTCGCAACTGTTCATTATGCAATTTATATAACCACTCGATTAATCTCTTTCTCTCGTCTCACCTGCAAAATCCATGGTACAATGGTATACGCGATATAGAAAAAATCTAACTAATGTTAAGTTATCTTTACGGAGGGATAAAAGAGGTGATTAAGGGGTGTGCGGGCATACGGAGGAAGGGAAGTGATCGACGTTGGGGTAGGAGAGAGTTCAACACTGCGAAAATTCATGACATGCGGGCCGCTGCGCGTTTTTCGCGAGTTTTATTGTCTTGCCGGTTGACCAGCAACGGATTTTCATTGTTCGCATTATTTTCCATTTAATAATCTGCACCTTAACCCGCGTCACGTTACGTTACAGAAAACAAGAGTGTGCAACGGCTCGCGCGCACATTTCGCATAAAGCCTTGCGACACCGTTGATACTCGCTAGTTAGCGTCACATCGAAAATAATTATTATTATTAATATTTAATATTATTATCCAACCCTTCTCCGTTTTTGCCCTCTCTTGTCATTTCTTTCTCGTCCACGTCCGCTTCCTTTATCGCCGCAGTCTCTATGAACGACGCGACGATTTAATTAAATACGTATCGATGAAAAATCCATGGCAGCTTAATAATTTATCTTTCGGTTTTCATCTCTATTATATAACGTTACATAGCCTCGAGTCGTTCCGCGGTACTAGGGTTGACTTGTTTTTCTTTTATATCAATCCTTCCCACTCTTCTATTTCCCTCTCACACAACTCGTGAACAAAAAATACATGAAGAGGATATTTGAATCTTGGCGCACATCGTTATTTAAAAATTCTTCCTAACCTCTCTTTTCTCTAAATACACTTAAATGATCAGAACGATGCAGATACTTTGGATCGAATCCTCATATCTCTTCTATTACGCTACAACTAATTCTCCCTTCTGTATCTTTGTTGTCTTGTCGTTTTCTTAATCCCTGCTTTCATTTATCTCTTGTCTACTACAACTTTCTTGCTCGGTCCCAATGAAACTCTTCCGACGTGCAAAAACCACATGAAACGGTCTCCTTAATCTCGTTCTATTATTTCTCATTGTTCCTCCTTTAAAACTAAACTAGATTATCATAAACTTAACGTACAAACGAATGGCTTGGAGGAGTCTAGGACGCGACAAATGAGAAAGAATGCACAAGCGATTTCAGGTATTTTCTTTTAAACGAGCTCCGATGCTGAAGAGCATATTTTTTGTGTGTATCTTGTCCTATATATAACGTGTATTAAAAAATGTTATGTTTTCTTAATCCTCCTTCGCAATCTGATAGCCATTAGCAAAATTATTTCTCAACACTCCATAGCATCCCGACGCACGTCTCAGGGATTCTAAATTCTTATCTATTGCGAATATTCACTGATATAACGAGTATCGAGAACAAATGACTTAACGAAGAAGAAATGAAGGCGCAATTAAAACGACTTACGCTTGCAATGTCTGTCATGAACATTATTTTCTATATGTATAATGCGTATAGGTACATTACTCTTTTTATAGGTACATTTTTCACGAGTAAAATATACATATAAAATCTTACAGTACACAACGACAAGGCAAAAACGGCGCTACGGTTCGTACCTGGGTTTTCTTTTCTTTTTCTTTTTTTTGTATACTATACTGGAACCGTTTTCATAGGGCGTCGAAGAACTGGCGACGCCACCTCGTATTTATACTTTGATCACGACGCTCTCTGTTTCGGGATTAATATTATAAAGCGCCTTCAGGATTCGCCTACGTTTAACGAGTTGTCGGCAGGAATCGAGGCGCGTTCGTTTTTTCCCTTTAAAACTCGTATTCTTTGTTTTCTCTCTCTTTTCTTTTATCCATATACATTACCGGATAGGAACTGACAATAAACTGACAAATTCGTACGAGTGTAAATTCCTGTAGAATTTTTCTTCCTACGCTCACTTTTCCCTCCTCTACTTTTATTCTGTCATTCTCTCCACTCTCTTTCTCACAATCAGTTGTACATTTCTCACGCGTTCAGCGACCTTTCTCAAAGAGGAAGTACATTTGGGAGTTCACGAAGCAGCAAATATTGTGAACTACAAATATTAAACTTTTCGAACATATTGATCCAGGCATATTGACAGAATCGCCTCTGACAGACGTTACAGAGTTTCGCCATCGCCAAGTACTCAGAACATACTGGCTACGAATAGCTCGGTTCGCCCTTCGCAATTGACAGGTTGGTTCGTTCACAATGAGATATGAAATTGCAAAACGTAAATTGCACATCGAATACTGTCGTATGGCTACTGACAAATTATTTATCTACCTTTTTACTTTTATTATCCAACCATCAGGCAAACTGTGTATTTTCAATACGGTACCAGCGGACGCACAGGTATTCAGATCACAAAGAGTACTTGGCTATAACAAACATTTTATTCAGCTATCATTGTAGAATCAGATATAAATGAACATTTTTATCATCATTAAATATTACTAAACTGAATGACCTAGTGTGTTGCTCGTATGTAATGCGTGTATGTATAAATGTACGTGTGTTTACATGTATATATGTAAGAGCGTGTGAATGCGCGTCACTTCCGATCGATTTTTTTTTTTTTTTTTTTTTTTTTTTTTTTTTTTTTTTTTTTTTTTTTTTTTTTTTTTTTTTTTTTTTTTTTTTTTTTTTGGAAACGCACGCTTTTGTATCTCTTGGCGTTAATCGTGTGTCTCTGTGTGTATAAATGAACCGTTGAGAAAGAGAGTGTGTGTTTGTTAGATGTAGGCATGTATCTTTTTTTTATTTATATATATTTTTTCCCGTTTTCATTATCATCATGTCTCATGTTCTGCAAACGCGTACGATCATCTGCGAAAGGAATCCGGACCCAGTTGTATAGTCGTCGTAGTTATCGAGTTCATCAGAATAATCAGCTGCGTCGTTATGAAAGATCTTTCACGATTTCGCAACGACATGGCGCACCGCACGCGTCTAATTTGCGTTATCAAACGATTTAGCAGTCTAATCATAAAACGCATCGTAGCGTCTGTCGTAATGCGCAGAATGTTCAATACTGGTTCTACGCGCATATCGCTACCATGATTTCCTGGCGATGAGCACGACGTTGGGCTCCTTCGACGGTTGTAAACTTTCACAGGACAATTGGCAACGCAAGTTGTGATCTCAGTCTTGATTGAGGGTTCGATGAAACCGATGAAACCGACGTTACGAACCGGAATGCCGTTGGCGCACGGGGCTACGACCTCAACGTAACAGTGTATCTGCTGTTGCTGTGTTGTGTTCTGAAGTAGCTTGGGAGACGATGGTTTACGGTTCGAGGCTGGTGAACTTATAAAAGCTGAGGTATTGGTTGGGAAGGTGGATGCTCTTCCACGTGGGGAACTTGACCTCCGACCCCAATGCCATCCATGCTTCCCAACCCAGCCGACCCAGAAACCGCAACTGGCACCGGCAAGCTGCCCATTGCCACACCATGGTCATCTGCAACAAATCCTTTCCTGATGACTTTGCCTCGAGCTCCTCTTCGAACATCTTCCTGAAGCACGCATACTCATTTCCCATGCTACAGCGAGATTCATTGCTCCAGTCACTTTTCCATTGTCATTTATGAAAATGAATTTCTTTCTTTCTTTCTTTTTTTTTCCTTCAAGTCTACGTTACCAGATTTCATAATTTCAATGGACCAGTGTTGTTAATATGCAACTTATAAATGTGTACTAGGTGAAAATATATTGCGTGGATATGTATTGTGGTGGATAACGCGAACGCTATTCTTATTTTGAGATACTGAATGTGCAATGTAATTTGAAATTTTAATCGCCCCACGTCCCAGTGTCTCGAACAGATAGGATCTAGCGAAATACACGTCATGCACTAAGGATTTCTTTTGAAATAGTACGTGTGGCGTGTTTAAGAAGTGGATGAGAAAAATTAATATCTCTATTAAATAATTGCCAGCTTCATCGTTGTCATCTTGGAATTTATATTTTCTCCTTTTCCTCGTCACCATTGTAAACGACGTCATCGGTATAGTTTTAGTGCTACAAATCCGACATTACTTTCAATCTCGGAAGGTTTCTGTGTAACTGATAAAATTTTTGCACATTAACGGTATTTGCCATTTAATAGTAAGATTTATTTTACAAACCAAGATGCCAAGATTTGGGAAGTTCCAAATTTACATTAGTCTTAGCGCGATCGGTCGTGATATCAATGCCAACCAGTAACACAATCATATACAATTTGATCTTTAGAGCTAAATGTAATCTCTCCAAGATTAAATATCCTCTAAAATATCTTCAAGCGACACTTCTCCTTTTCTACAGCGTCATTTTGAACAACGCGAAAATTCGGTATCGCCAAAGTTTCGCATCCTCGCTGACTCAATAGTCTGATAAAAAGTGAAATGTGACCGAAGAAAAAAAATATATATTCTCGTTGATGGTAGATGCGGAAAATTATGGACAGAAAAAAAAATATATATATACGCACTTGATAATTTACCCTTAATGATGGTAAAACAAAAAAAAAATGACATTGAATCTCATTAATAAATTCTAGTTAGTCGAATGATGTTATTCAGGTTGATGAACATATATTCATATAGCTATATCATGTATTAATGAATGGTATGGAATTGTGTTTTGTAAAAGGTTAAGGAAATGAAGGAAAGCTTGAATTTGTTTTTAACAAGTATTTTCATAAAAATTCTACAAAATAATTGACTCTTCCTGTGATACTAATCTGATACACTTTTGATTCTATACTGTATTTAGCCTGATAAGCAGGCGTTAAGATCATTATAGTATTTGAACTATTGAAAATTGAAATCACGGATTGATAAACGCTCAGAACATAGAAAAGCATTTGCAAAATTTACCGTACAGATTTTCATGTACTTTCGTTGGGTAATACTACGTTACTCTCAACTTCTTGATATTTTCCCTATCCGGTATCCAAAAACGAGTAGTTCAAAGCGAATAAGAGCCGATATAAAAAGAAAAAGAAAAAAAAAGATTTCTCGAGAAACTCTTTCTGATCGTCGTATATGTGGTAAAAGAACATTCAACTTTATTGGCATTCAAACGGCGTGACACGCATTCTCGTATTCGCAATGGTTTTTCTACAATTTCGATTGTAAAAATAATAAGAATTATATAACTGCGTGTAAGAATGTACAGCGAATGAACGTAAAGGAATACGTCTCCTAGTAATCGAAAATTACAAATCGCACTACGAGAGCACGACTCTGATCGAAATTGACAAAGAAACTTATAGCCAATGAAAGATAATTAATGATTAGGTTCTTCTTTATACCAGGTGTGTTAAACGGTTCAGTAATTATAAGAGGTAGAGGTAAGTTAAGGTGGTGGTGACATTACCTGGGCCGCTACTCACCTACAGGCAATGAGCCTGTCATGGGAGTAGGTGACGACGACACCATGGTCAATCGACCTTGTTCTTTCACTATGGGAACTATAACAAGAATAAATTTTAAAAATTAAATCGTTTTTATAGTCTGTTATTCATGTTACATTTAAATAATCAGTTTGTATGCAAACACACAAATAAGACTACACTGACTTTCTCACAGCTATTCAAATACGTATAATGAAATATTATCCGAACTATGAACATTGCCCTATCGAAGGTAAACAGTAGATCCTGCCCCAAAATAAAGACGGGTGTATAAAGAAATTTCTAAGAAATGACGAAGCATGTCCCAATGATTCTATTAAGAGTTTGTATAATATAGATAGCATAAGGCAATAAAAACGTGTAGAGTGTAAACATCGAAGACTGAGCTTGCTCGATTATATAAGGTAGCTCGATCAACGTTAAAGAAATAAGATGTGAATATTATCGAGAAAACTAGGAGAAAAATAGAGAGCAAAGCAAGTAATGTAAAATAATTTATTGTGTCAAATCGCACATGTATATCCGTATGAATTTAAATTGAACGTATATATGCGTTATCCAAATAATTTGGCAAAGAAAAAGTGCAGAACAATATCACAATATCTGTACTAATATGAAATTGCGTAAGATAGCCACAGTTATCTCAGTAACAGAACGTCAGTGTACCGAACTCGTGCAATGTTCTAAAACTGTTGAGAATTAATATAGGGATGAGTCAACTCACAGAAATAAGGATGCTCCATGGCTTCGCGCGCTGTGAGTCTCTCGTAATGGTCATAGCGCAGAAGCTTGTCAAGGAAGTCGAGGCTCTCGGGCGAGACCAAATGTTGATTTTCCGAATGAACAAATCGCTCCCAGCGTTTACGCGAATGCCGACCAAGAATGTCATTGAAGCGGGGATCTAGTTCAATGTGATACTTGTCTAGATACTCAAAGAGTTCCTCGGTGCCCAAGACTTTTGCAATTCTGACTAATTGATCGTAATTGTCGTGACCATGGAAGAAAGGTTCTTTCCTGAATATCATACTGGCTAGCATGCATCCCAGCGACCACATGTCTAGTGAGTAGTCGTACATCTGCAATGAGAAGAAAATAAAAAAGAGTTAAGCAAATCAATAATACCACCATGACAATTCATTGTAGGATGAATGGACAGGCGTGTTGTCTGTTTTATCTCGCAATAACAAGTGCAGTATTATCCTTGGATTATAACCATAAAATTTATATTTTTATGTGTATTCGTTAACTGATTGCGTGGTGCATAAATATTTCTCTGTCAAGGTATAAGGTCGGATTGATCGCCATTGAATAGCGAAGAGGTCGCTCGTGGGAGGTTGTAGAAAAATAATAACTGACCTGATAGTCCACGAGCAATTCGGGTCCTTTGAAATAACGGGAAGCCACGCGAACATTATATTCCTGTCCTGGATGGTAAAACTCAGCCAATCCCCAATCGATTAGCCGTAGTTTTCGGTTCTCATGGTCAATCATAACATTGTGGGGCTTTACGTCCCTATGCATTATACCCATGCTGTGGCAGTAGTCCAATGCCTGTTAACGAAAGATTTCGATATATCTCAGACCATCAGTATTTAAACTAGACTTCATGATTGATGGTCAAACGTATTTGGGTGTAATCTAGTGCATTCGTTTGACTTTTAAGTTACAATTGTTGATAAGAGGACGTACTTTCAATAATTCGTAGAGGTAGTATCTTATGTCATAGTCTGTAAGCGTCTGGTAAAGCTGCTTGAAATCTGTGTTATTCACATGTTCAAATATCAATGCTGGTGTCCTTGAGACCGGATCTTTTACAACTGCCTGTAGCGTGATTATATTGGTCCCACCTCTCAGATTTTCTAGGATTTTAATCTCCCTCTTTATCTTCTTCTTTTTTACTGGCTGCAAGAGAAAAGATTTACTGTTTAAATTTTTAATTAAGCACGAGAGAGTTATTTTCATTCCTTTTTGACTTGAAAGTTTCAAATTTTAATCCTGTTTTTCGTTAATAATCTTTGTTCGTAGCACTAACATACCTTTAGTATTTTAACAACACATTTTTCATTACTTGTGACGTTAATGGCCTCGAACACTTCACTGTATTTTCCCCGTCCTAGTTTTCTGACTAACTGGTAGTCATCTTGTTGACTGCAAGGACAGAGAAATAGGAAAAAATGCATCTACAAAAGCACTAATGTTTAAGACAATTATAACTAATTTGAATGACAAATAATTTACTTGTTATAGGATTTGCTCTTTTGATGCAACAAACATTATGGTTCATGATTAGAGAAAAGCACAAATATCTAAATTATAGAAATCTTTACAATAATTGCAACAGTGAGTACTTACCCCCAATCAACAACATAGGATTCGTAGTCCCAGTAGTCTCGAGGTTTGTGTGAGTTAACGTCTGCATAGACCCGTGCTCTACTTGGCAGCGCCATTCTCTCAAAACTGTGGCTGCTTAAATGATTTTCGTTTGCTTTACCGCTGATTACTGTGGTACCTTCTTTACTTAACGAAAATGATCGTCTACCAACAACTTTTTCTCCTGCAGGAAACCAACCACCGATGTATGAATGCAGGAGTAAACCTGGTAAGTTATTTGGGAAAACAAATTAGATATTATTAATATTGTCAAAGAAGAAACAAAGTACTCGAATCATGACGTAAATAAGCTACAACTATTGAAACACAATGAACATTGAATTCTTCCAAGGTGATGTTAACCATTAATGTTACATAAATCCTTGTACAAGCATAAGCACAAATACCTTAAAAGGCTTATATACAGTTAAAATCCATCATTAAAGTCCAACAAGTCATAATGCAGGAATTATTTATATTTGTTAAAATATATGTATATATTGCAATTTAAGTGCACAGCATAAGATGGACAATAAAGAGGAGATATAAAAGAAACTGAACTAAGTTTATATAGTTCATAAGCTTGTAGCATCCCACAGCATAAAGGGATTCACAAGTGCTGTTCTACGTAAAAAATGTAGACGATCACAAAATCTGGACAAATCTCCGATACCTACAACTGTCTGAAGCAAAAGCAATGTACAGCGCCGACCCATCTTCTGATAGACAAACGTACAAGGAAACTGTGTGACTTGCGTCAGCAGAGCTATGAATCCAAAGAAAGTTATGCATATGAGATCGTTCTTGATAAGTAATCAATGAAAATGAACTTTGACAATATTTGATCAAAGGGTTGAAACAGGTATAAGAATATTGATGATCCAATAGTCAACTCATGGACAAAAATATTATCATGGTTAGGAATTAATTAAGTCACGTTAATAGAAACTAAGTCGTAACTATTAGAAGAGTAATACCATGCAGAGCCATTAAAATAAAAGGCATGCAAAGGCGAGTAATAAGTAGGCGTTAGAAGCGCAAAGGCGGCTGAGCATGAATTTGGTAATAGAAATATCTTGACCAAGGCAAACGAGGAACACCCGCGTCTATCGATCGACAGAGTCAAACAGAATCTGGTTTTGTGACCGATTTCCCTGACACAAGACCTTGAGAGAATTCATGGAACGAAAATACAGAATGTTTCGCACAATATAATAAAATGAGTTCTCCATGCTACGGACCATCCTCATCTCAAGCAAGGATGTTCGATATTTGTAGCGCCGAGCGTAAGAGCACGCACACGTACATGAAGACGCACACACATGATAAGGAAAAATCACACGCCAGCACGGTCGGCCCATTAATGTTGACTTATTTTCGGCTCACCTAATACATTCCTGGGCCGAATCTTGATGGTTTAGCCCGCGAAGAATCGGCAAATTTCGTCACGGACCCGCAGGACCTTTCTACAGGGCGCCTAGAGCCGCGCGAAGGCGTGAAACACGGGATTTTTGCGGGCGGCCGGCTTCTCAAACGAGCGAGGTCCAAGATGGCAGCCGGCGACCCGCCGAAGACTACAAAAACGTAGATTGGCTACTCTTTCCTTAAAAATCGTCCTGGAACGACTTAACTCCTCATGCCTAGAAGATGACACCAACCAGGTGACACCTTTCCAAAAAATTTCATTACCCTCGAAAGTCTTTATACAAGATAAAAATATTAATTGGCGAAACCAATTTTTTAACTTTTTTTTTTTTAATAATGCCAAAAAGATTGAGCAGCGATTGATATGTTTGAAATATTTTTAGTTATTTTTAATACACGACAAAAAGTACACATTTTTTTTATAGTGATTAGGCTACTTTTTTTTACATTTTTGTGTATTCAGCATTAATAATATATTACAAGCAGAGATGAGTATCTTGGCATTAGATGGATAAATCCAATAAACTCATCTCTGACTACACTTCTCAGCCACTTAGAACTGTTCTACCAGAGATCAACCGAGTTTCATTGTCGAGCTTAGCCAATCAGATCGACATTTTTAGGAAATACAGGCATTTAATTGGCTAATCTTGCTAGTTAATTTTCGGTTAACTATGGTGAATAAACAGAAATGTGGCAGCTCCTATATGAACAGAGATGATATGAAAGTACTTCAAATTTTATATGTATAAACTTATTTTGAACAAAATCGAAATGAAACATAAACAAAGAAAACAATCTAGTAATATTTAATATATTCATAAATTTATATAACTAGTTTAAAATAGGCAGTAATATATAATCGCTATATTGTTATCTATAGCAATAGTACATATATATTTTTTAGATTTTTAATCTAGTTTATTAATGAAAATACCATTACACACTTAAATAGGACAATATTGATATTCATGGCTAAAATTTTACACAATTACATAACAGAGACTACATTTGCTGTTAAATAGTTTATTGCAGTATACATATTTGCACTATTAAAAATATTCATACATCTGTTACATCATTAGCTGTTTTAATTGGAGATTCAATCTCTAGCGTTACAGGTCCATCATTTTGTATATGAACTTGCATCATAGCACCAAATTTACCATCTATAAACAAATTTGCAATAAAATAAAGTGTTACAATAAAGATTTTTACACAATAGAATCTTTATACCTTTGATCAATTCTGGTTTGTATTTTTTACCAAGCTCCGCAAGAAAATTCATATAAAACGGTTCCGAATCTTGCGCTGGCATTGCTTTATGAAAATCTAATTTGTTTCCTTTCATGACGTGATATAAAGTGAATTGGCTGACGCACAGTACTTCGTATTCTTTTTCCATAACATTGGCACACCATTTTCTACCATTTTGCCCCTCAAAGACTTTCATATTCAAGATTTTTCGTACACTGTTGGATAGTAATACATTTCTAAATCTGATATATTATTGTTACATAAGATTGACTATGGCAGAGTAAGACATTACATATATTCCATGTCTGCCAAAGTATCATCTCGTTTTATCCCAATCAAGATGCATAAGCCATTTTCAATGCTACTGATAATTTTTCCATCAACTGAAAAATATTATATATCAATTTACAGAACCTGATTTATATATGTTATATCGCCGTTATCCATTACATCATACATAAAAAAAAATATCGGTGTCGTTTAATTTCAAAGAAGTATGTACTATTTGAAGCGGCGCATTACACATGCGCATGTGTAACGTTTTTCACACGCGGGCAAAGTAGCTTGGTTTTCAATATGTATGAATTTGAATAATATATATTATCCTAGAAGAACTATTTAGTTTCTACTTCCGTAAAGTTTGCGGTATGAGCATTTAGTATGTAAAAATCTCAAAAGCGTTATAAAATTTCGTACTGAATATATTGCGTATAAAAACATTATGGTCAATGGGTCAAATCAATATCCGTATAACCTTAGCTATACCATCATACCTGATACGCTTGCCTTTGTTACACGTTGTATCACAGCTTTCATTCTAAATGATTTCCTTTTTTCAGTGGACTGAAGCAAGCAAGTTTCCAATTGTATTCACCGTTTGTATGCTATAAAATCAGACAAAGTAATGTAAAATTGAGCTCACACAACTGACAAGTAAGCATCACCAGCCAATGGGAGAGCCACGGTATAGGAAAGCTCATTTCCCGCGTGTGGACTTCCTATAATGCTGTTTGACTTTTCAAAGATTGTTTACAAGCAGCACAAAGTGAATAATCCAGAGAAAGTTGCAACGCAAAAAGATTCAGAAGCATTGTCGCAATCAGAGAACTTGTGTAAAATGTGCGCATCTACCATTACTGTACTTGTGAATTGGCTCTGTTAAACGCAATTTCTTTTCGATGACCCACTTGTTGCACCTAGGTTATGCTGTTATAAACAAAGATATTTTGTGTACAAACTTATGGTTTGAGTGAGCGATTTGTGAGAGATTAGGCAGGAATGGAGGGTCCTGGCCTGAGCTTATTTCAAGGCTCTGAGAGCATCCAGTTAAATACGAGTTCGCGACGACAAGAAGAGGAGGAAGAACAAGAGGATCGAAAACGGCGCGATAAAGAGGTACATTTATGAAAAGTACAGTTTCGATGCTAGTTTTTTTTTATATATTTTGCGAAATACCACATTGTTAATTATGTATGCTATAGTATTCAATGATGTCTAACTTGTCCTTGTGAACTATGCCTTGCCTCTTTGTGTATATATGTTAATATCACTGCTCCAATATTTTAAGGTATTTTTAATAGTAAACCATTATCATCATAGATTGGGGCCCTGTTAAAACATGCACTTGGTGATCTGGAAGATGATGATGATGTCAGCTTTATCAATAGTACTCATTCACATGTTACATGTAATGAGGAGCATAGTGGTATTATGGTAAATTCTTTGCACCAGCCAAGTCAATCAGATAGGAGTCCAACAATTTCACAATTTCAAAAAGAGTTTGATGCTTATGGCAGAATAGACGAAACAAAAAATTATAATCAAAATTCAAATTCGTTGCATCATGCCGACTCTGAAATTGGTCCTACCGTATCTGATATACAGAGAGATCTAGGAGTATATGGACAAACAATGACACCATATGGCAAAAATAACAGAAGTAATGATATGGACAATATGGTCCCAGACACGCCATACGAATTACCTAAACCACCAAACCCTGGATATCCCCTTAATTTAAGGACACAAGTTAATGAAGAATATACATTTCATGATAATTATCCTTATAACTATGGAACTCCTGCAAATCACTATGATAGACAGACCAATAATTATTCTAATAACGGATATATTGATGGTTATGATGAACACAATAAAATGCAGTTGAAACCTGTCCGTGAATATGGTGGAGGAGATAATGATGTAATTTCGGATCATTTTAATCATTGTTATAAAACAAGTCCAAATGGAAGGCCTGCAGATGAAAATACAGCTTATAAAATGGCTGAACTCAATAGTAAAGAGCAGTTAGAAGTTCTTTATTCAGTTAGAATAAAAGAAATTCAAAATTTAACTGAACAAGTACAACAGTTACAATTGGAGAAAGATGAGGAACGAAATCAGCTTAATAGAAAATTAGCTCTTGCACAAGCAGAGGTAGAGAGATCCAATTTATCAAGAAATCAGGCTCAAAATTCTCTTGGTAAGATATATCATAAAATAAAAAAATTTCAGATTAGATTTTTATGTAAACGTAACACACTATTCATACTTTACAGTTGATGCAAAGGCAGAAATAAATGATCTCCAATCTCAGGTTGCATCACTAAAAGAAAATGTTGCCATCTTGGAAAAAACAAACCATAATGTAAGAGATATAAGTTTCATCTCTAAGGATTACTGAATAATGGTGCATTACATTTCATTTGCAATATTATTTTGTACTTTTGTTTAGATGGCCGAGGATTTAGCGGTTTCGAAAAATTCTGTAGTTGATTTACAACAGAAAATAGTTATTTTAGAAAAAGTACAAACATTACAGGCAAACGATAGATCTCACGAAAAATTCTTAAAACAAGCGCAAGAAAAGCACGCAATTCAAATGAAAAATATGCAAACTCAAATAGATGTGTTAACGGAAAAACTTAATATGAAGGTACCTTTTGCGAAAATATATAATTTTAAGCTTCATTAATTTTCCCTATCTTCTATTATCGAACCCATAAGAACTGAATTCATTTTTGTTCCATTCATTAACAAATGTTAATTGATCATATCAATCATATTTGCTTTGTTTGGATACCAGTAATGACTACATTATGGGCCAATTATTATAAAAATTCATATGTTTTAATGTGATCCTTAATTATCATTTTAAAGCAATGTTTTTATTTATTTCTGTGAAATCCAGTCGAAGTCGATATGCTAAACGCTTATTCGTTTTATTTGTAACATTATTGAACTGTTCTATCAATCAACTCTATAATTAACTACAAATTTTTTATTGATTAGGAGACTTCTTACATTGATTTGGAGCACAAATTGGCAGATGTACGACGCGCACATGAGACTCTGATGGTGGAAAAGGGAGATACTATGAATCGTTTAGCACAAGCGTTAGAAGAAAGTCAAAATCAGTGTCGTAATCTGATGGCTAGTAATAATGGCCAGGAAGTAATGCAATTACGGGCACAAATCAAAATAGCTGCTCAGGAAAAAGAAGAACTATTTAAAACTATCAAAGAGTTGCAGGTAACTTATATTGATATTAGCGTATTATTTACCACAGTTTCTTGTGAAGTTTGTTCATATAATATTTTACGTGTGTCGTACTTACATTATAGCACAAACTAGAATTGGCTAAAAGTGACACTGTACATTATGACTCGTTATTGGCAACCACACTTGAGGATGAATCTGATTCGATAAAACAGATGAAGCTAGGGGAGTTGCATAATAAATCCAAGTGTAAGCCTAACGATGACATCACAAATAAATTACGGGGAGAGTTGCAAAGGTATCTTATTAGGAGATGATTATTTAAAAATTAATTTTTTTGTTTCAAGATTCATGTAGACTACATTCTATAATATTGCAACGATTAACGAGTTAATTTGTTATTACAGATGCCTCGCTGGGCAAGCGGTAAAAAGAAAGGAAATAAATCGTCTAGAAAATACATTAGCTCAAAAAGAAAAAGAACTAGATAATGCTCTTAAGATGGCTGAAACATGTCGGACAGAGGCAGCCCGATATGCGAAGCGAGTTACTGAATTAGAGCAAGAGCTGAAATTACTCCTGACAGAGCAAGCAATGAAGGCCAGTTCGCAGATACAAAAGCTTTCGGATCATTTGACGGAAACAAAAAAGCAATATGATCTTCTGAAACAAGAAAATCAGAGCTTGCAACAGAAACTAGAAGAGACCTTAGCCATTAATCAAGAGTCGATGCGGAAGTTCAATGAAGATACGACGGCTCAGCAAGAGAGGGAAGCTGTCGACGAGTACAATAAAGAATACCTAGAAATACATAATAAAGCCGTAGAGAGAGTAAGAAAGGAAGCAGAAATCGAGATAATGCAATTGTCGTAAGTATCCGAATGTAATCAGGAGTTCAATTTTATAATGTGTCATAATATAATTTGTAACTTTAAACTTGCAGAGTGCATTTAGAACAAACACAAAAGGAACTTGATCGGGTCAAAGAATTGTATATAGACGTTTGTGGTACAAAGGAACAGTTAATAGCTAATCATAAGCATGAGGTGGAGACGTTAATGGAAACGTATGCCGATCTAGAAAGTCGTAAAATAGAGATGGAAAAAGTGGCGAAAGATTTAGAAGTGCAGATTAAAGTTACCGAGAGATTATCTAGAGAGGGAGATAATTATAGGAGTAAGATTATTGAACTAGAAAGAGATCTAGCTGAGGAACGGAAAAAGAAAGAAGATTATACGAAGAAAATTCATACTGAGATAGAACGAGGTAAATTGAAAAACTGAAAAATCTCTTGTATTTGAATCCATAATTATGTTGCTACTTCAATTGATTTTAGCGAAAGAAGAAGCTTTAAGGGAACTTCGTAATACTCATCCTGGTCGACAAATCAATGTCAACTTGCCAGATCATTGCTCTGAACATTTAGATAAAATCACGCAGGTATGTTTGTACAACGATAAATGCGTTTCTACTCTGTGGGTTTAATATTTTCCTTCTATTAAATAAATATTATTTCATGATATAGCTCGAAGACGATTGTAAACGTTTAGAAGAAAAATTATCTATTACTGTTGAAGAACAAAGAAAAATGTCGAGCTTACAGGCAGAGTTAGATGATGCAAAATTGAAAATCGCTCAGATGGAAATTGGATATGAGTCACTGAGAAAAAAATATGAAACTGTTCTCGGCGAACGTAACGATCTTAACACGAAGCTCTCTAAATTGGAAAGTGAATTATTGGATGCTAAGAAATGTTTAAAAATGGAAGATTCGGATGATGCAAAATTAAAAATCGCTCGGATACAACTGGAGAATGCGACTCTGAGGAAAAAACACGAAAGCATTCTCAGCGAAAGAAATGCTTACAAAGAGAAAATATCAAAATTAGAAATTGAATTGAACGATACAAAGAATATTGTGAAGTCTCTCGAAAACAAAGTCAGAAGATCTAATGAAATATCACTGATATCGAGAAGCGAAATGGATCAGGAAATATCTCGATATAAGGAAACGATAGCCCAATTAACTACCAGAATGAATGGCATGAAAGACGATCGGAGTAGTAATTCGATTCCCGATGAAAAAAGCAACCAATTACAAGAGGATCTACAAGGACAGGACGAAAGGATGCAGAGACTGAAAGATTTCGAGAGAATTAAAAATGAAAGAGATCAGCTGGTAATAAAATTAAAAAATCAGGCGAAACAGTTTGAGCAATATGTCAAAAACCAAAAGCAAGTATCTGTGGAGTTGAATTTGTCGCCTCGCAGCTCAGGCGATGGTACGGACTTTCAAAAATTGAAGGAGTCCACGATTAAGGAGGTACGTGAAGAAATGGAACAAAAAGTTGCCGAAGAGCTAAGAGGAATAGAACAGCAACATCGCGAGAAACAGAAATTAATAGAGGAAAGGTACAAAGCCTTATTGGTAGAATTGCAAACGAGGTACGATGAACGAACGAAGGAGATGCAAACCATGAAGGAGGCCATCATTGCTGAAAAAGTAAAATTGCATTCGCAGTTTAAAGCGCAGGAACAAATTGTTGCTCGAATGATAGAAGCGAAGCTGGATGCCTTACAGAAGGAGTTGATGGCGAGAAAAGTGAGAATAGAGCAGTTGCAAGATCTTTTGAAAAGTAAAGAGAACGATGTCGAGGAGGAGAGAAATGTGATGGCGCAAGTGATGTCCGAATGGGCTGCCGAAATGCAGGAAGTGAAGACAAAGGAAGTTGAGATGAGTGAGGAATTGAAGAAACTCAAAGAAACCGAGGAAAGTTTGCAAACGGAAGTGAAGCAGTTGAAGGAAAAAGAAAGGGAGATGAAAAGTAATATTGACATGTTGAAGCACAAGTATCAATCTGCTAAGAAGACTGCAAGCAATTACAAGGTAAGTAAATCCGTATTTCTGGATTTGTTACATAGGATTTCATGTTTGAGAAGATGTATTTAATGCAGAATAATTTTTTTTAAATAGGAATATGCAGAAAATAAAGAAAAATTCTTATTAAATGAATGCAAACGTATAGAGGAAGGATACAAAAGAGCCATGAATACAGTACAACAAAAAGTTGATGCAATCGTTAGTACTCAAGAGGAACAAGTGGCGACAAAACTGAAAGAACTCGAAAGTCAATACGAAGAGCAGTTGGAACAGATGCGACTTAAAATGAAGTACAAAACTAAATGTTGAAGTATGTATTAATGTCATTAGCACGCAATATGGCTTTCGTAGCTTAGGATAAATTGTAGTTAGAAGAGGCTAGTTATTTTTTAATTTAAAGCACTTTATTGTACAACACCTTATTAGAAGATTTTTATTTTATGGACGAATAAGTTTAAATTTACCAGTAATATCAGTACTATCGCTGCTTGTTTACTGCTCTTTGAATAATATGATGTCAGGCACTAGCGAGTATCAATTTTATCTCACAAATTGATTATAAGTTCACATTAATGTGTCAATTTGGAAAGTACTATTTCCTTGCCCATCGATAATCTGATTATCGGTTGTTTATGTAATATAATAATTGTCGGATAACACGCAGATCGGCCGCGCATCCGACTGTCACGTTTTGATAAAATATCATAGGATCAAATATCGAATATTATACCATACGTCATGGACAAATATTTTATACGTAGCGTGACTCTCGGGGTGTGGTCAATCTAGAAGAAGCATGAACTCGTAGACGGTGGCAAAAGCGTAACAATCAATCGTTTTTCAAGCTTGCTATTACTATACATTAATTAAATCGTCACTTTTCTCTCTCAAATAATCCGACAACACAAGTGATACCAATGCATTGTCTGTAGAAACCAAGATCAGCTCTTGTTTTTTACATGATAAGGCTTCACTCGAACGAAAGACTGGATTATAATCTCTATGATAAAGTACCCAAAGTCATTATAAAAGTTTTAATAACTGCATTAAAATCATGTTATCATGAAAATTGCATTTCATTGTAATGTGACATCAATTAGCCATTCATAATCCAATCCACAGGAATAGTAGCAAAAACAAGCATATACGGGTGCGCGTGGGGCGTACGTGTACATAGAGTAATCGAGATTCGACCGTCATTACGGTTATTAGTACAGGTAGTTTATATGGTTAAGTAAGAGGTCTAACTTTTCTTACTAGACTATACCCTGTTCCTCCAAAGAAAACCTTTTCATGCCATTAGAATCTCTCTACGTAGTGTGCTAAGGAAAGATGAATACGACGAAGAGTTTTATAAAAAAAAAAAAAATTGTACAAAGTGTGACTTCTTAATGTAACAACGTACTCTCTTTCTTTTTTGTTTTGTACAAAAGTTCGGATATCTGCCGTTTTGTTCAATGCGCATATTTCAGTAGCCAAACTGTAATAAATACATACATAATATATTAGAAGCAGGACTGAAAAAAATATGTTACGCTTAACCTCATTACACCAAACATGGGTACATAGGTCACTACAGTGAGGATTCAAATTTCCAAAGTTGGATATATATTTGAGAACATAAGTGTTTTAGCACAACTTATAATTTTTTCGGTTTAACACTCCATTTTTCTATTGATTTTGAACAAAAAATTAACATATATATACATATATATCATGCGATTATTTTTAACACCAAATTTTCTTACGTTGTACGTTTATTAATTTCTTTTGGTTTCTTTATAGATACTTTTGTAAAACTTTTAAGTTCTAAATTTTATTACCCTTTGGATGTATTTGGTACTACATGATATTTAGACTAGTTTCAGTATTCGTATTGTATGAAACTTTATAATTGTTGACGTAATAATGCTATATTTTTCAACTACGATAAATTTACAAGTTATATGGAATTATCTTCCGGTGTTTAAATATATATATAAATATAAAAATATATACATATATTTTTATGTATACATATATAAAGATTTGTTGCAACGAAGAAAAAAATTTAATTTATTCTTAAACGAAGGTTTTCTAGGATAGACTTAAAAATTCTTTGTTTCTCTGTATTCAATAATGGATGGCTCTATATAAATTGGATTTGTGCAAAAGTAATGTTAGCAACGATAAAAATTTCGTTTTTTATCATTTAACCTTACGATTTGTATGACTTTTACAGCATTTTAATACTCAAAATCATAAGCTGTAATCGTAGTATTGGAATAGCGATAGCACGTGAGAAAGCTCTAGCTTTCGAGTGAATTTCCGAAAAATCTTTTTACGAGAAAGATTTCTTGACAGGTACCTTTGTTTAAAAATAGAACGTATGTCCAATCTTCGTTGCCACATGTTGCATCCTTGTCATTGGATGACTGTCCCGAAAGTGTATGTTGATTAATCGCCCTGCACTCGTCATTTACAAATGGATCTTTAAATAATTTTCTCAATTTCTACAATTTGCTTAATATATATTATATAATGTACTACCGTGTCATTACTGTCACGCTTTACTATTAATGACTCTTAATATTACTATAATTATTATAAAATCATCACTGAATAGAGAGTATTATTAATATTAATTAGTCATGTATTTTTGTATGTAGAGTGAATTAATTTATTTTTGTAATAAAGATTTTATGTCATCTTTTTTCGATTATGCTGTCTCGTGTAGTGCGAGATCTGGTCATCTTCAACACTCTTCTTCCATCAATTTATTAATGTCCACAATTCCTTAAAAGATGTCATCGATGACATTTATGTTGCAATTTCTTCATTTCATTATTAACGCCATACAGTAGAAGATACACTTATAGATTTGTAAATCCATGAACATTTTTTAGTCTCAAATTTGCTAAACAAATTGATATTATTTTTAAACTACTTTTAATCTTTGCACTCTAACAATAAGTATTATATATATGTATACATACAGGGTGTTCCGAAACTACCTGACCCGGTGGGTATGGGGGTGTTCGGGAGGCTTCACTAATCACGAAAATGACCTTCTTTTTGTCCGGAAGGTCATAGTTTTTAAATGGGAGCAAGTCAAAGTTGAAGTTTGCTTCATCAGAATTTGGAATGCATTCTGATGTTTAATTGTTTGTCATAGAATTTTGAACAAGTGGGACAAGGATATTTTCACAGTATGAATTTACATGAAATTGTATATGTCTCGAATTCAATGAACTATTCGCATTCCTCATATTGACAAGGCACATCAAACGAAGCCAGAATCGGTCGTTATTATTTGACAGAAAATCAATGTCCAGGCGACATCTGCCCGAACGCTGCGTGTGTTCCTGTTGATTACAGCAACAGAACGGGTCAGTGTACAAATATATTCAATAAGCAGGGAGATACTAATTTACGAAGGTTCATTAATCCTATGATACGAGACAATCTATAATATAATTATTATGTAAAAATGAGGCGTCCAAAAAATTAGAAATAGAAATCATTCCGTATTTTACGTTACTAAACACTATAAAACCCGACTCTTCAAATGTTTGCAATTATTTGTAAAAAAAAAAAGGAAATGCTGCCTTGTCATTCTATATATTGTGACGTGGCATTTCGACATGCATGCCACAAAATGTAACATTCTGCGATTTCCGGCTACGTCGTGGGGCCCTATGCGTGGGGAAGGGATTTCGTGGCGTTGGACTGTATATTATTTGTTGAATTTGTATTCATTTCCCTCGTGGGAACGTTTTTTTTGTGTTTTATATTTTTCAAGCGGATCCGGAAGGGTCTTGTCAAAATTTGAGTACTGCGGGCCCCGAGAGTGCCAACCACGGGCGTGGTGGAGCGCGCTGGCGAGGCGTCGCGACAGCCAGACCGGAGCACACACTCTAAGATGCCAGCTACGCGGAACATTCGGCGAGCGTCTCCCCGATCCAGAGGGCATGCGGAAGTTGCAGGAACGGCCTGGAGCCGTCCATCGAGGGAGCAGAGGTTGATGTGATTCCCACCTCCCGAAAATATCACTGCAGCCATCCCAAACACGAAAGATGCCAGGATCTACTTTATCGGAACCGAAGAAAATAATTGTAGATCGCGAGCGCTCTGGCGAATTCAATGGTTCGCCAATCAGCTTGGCCTAAGGGATGTATTACAGCGCGCCTCTTGGGAAGGTTCCCTATTTTTGAAATTCTTAGCGTGACTTACGGTGTGGCCGAGCCTAGGAACAGACGTATTTTCGTCTGATAAACTTTGTAGAGTCTCGTATTGTTTTGTTTTAGCTTTGTCGGATTTTTCTAGTATTGTATTCTAGTATTGTACCGTGCCGTTTTGCGACTGCTTGAGGAACCCAGTATCAGATTGTGTCTTGGTGATATCTGGAGCGACTAGGAGGGCAGTGAGTGACGCTTTTGTGAGTTGACCATATTTACGTGAATGAGAGATAGACCGTGACGCAGTGTCGTGCCTTACGCATTCCCGATCATTATTGGATCCGCGGATTGCTCATCGGTGGCGCTCTGGAGGATCGATGCTATTTAATATCGTTTATGGGTCAAATGTTGGTTTCGCGTTACCGTCGATACAGTCCACGCCTCGCGGAGTCATTTCCTTAGCGCAAGGATATCGTGACTCCGTTAGCACTCGTTAACGTTAAATTCTGTATAATATCCTTTGACTTGTACATTCTGTGGGGAATGGGGTATAGCGTGTACTTCCGTATAGTATGGAGTACGATGTATATTTTTGTAGAATATTAAGGTCCTGTAAATTTGTAGATATTAGTTTGCCAATAGGTCTTCGGGACCGACAGCTTAAATAATTCCCTTGGGGGATCTACGGTCCCGTTCTGCGTAAAGCGTGTATATTCTGTATAGGAACCGTTGTTCCATTTCTTTTTCTTATTGTGTTGAATAAATCGGGCCAGATTGTGGTTCCGTATTTAATTTTGAAAACTTTATTGGTTATTCGTTGTAGTTTTTGAGAGTGAACCTCCCTAGATTTCAGATTCCGTTTATTGTCTCCCAGACCCAGGACCCCAACGCATAAGAGCTGGCCAGGGTGTCCTTAGGAGACAGCGGTGTAACTCTGGTTATACCTGGCGCCCAATAATTTAGTATTTTAATAATTATTTCTCGCGGTGCCATTTATTTGTGCGTCACCGTTAAAAAGTGTCGTCACAATATGTATATATTTTGCTTAACTGGTCATACGATTAAAACTGTGTAAAGTATATGCACATACTTTCTACGATAAGGCAGTATGAATTGATAGTAAACATAAAGTTTATAAATACATAGAGATGCATTTTCTTTTCTTTGTTTTCGTTGTATGTTATCAATATTTCTTTCCTTACAGCGACTCGTGAAACACTTCGAGGCTCTGATTTTATTGTGCTAGTACAAACAGGCATGTGATAGAGACGACTGGATCTAATCTACACTGAAATGTCACGTGTATAGAAGGAACATAGTGGGGGTGATCATCAGTTAATTATAACTCACTGAACTGTTAGTTCTTCAGTAGCGCTTCGCCATGGCAGCCAGTCGAGCGTTTATTTTGATTTTATTTCTGATTTACCATTCCGCGATCGGATTGAAATATAATACTAAACCCGAAATTCTACGATCACTGTTATCTTCTGGAAAAACAGTTGAAAACAACACATATATATATAAGACCAAAACATTTGAAGTTCTTGTAAGTAAACGAAACTGGATAACTTATTGTTAGTGTTAAGAGACAATAATTTAGTTTTTTAATTTATATTTTCTCCCTTAAATTACAAAGATAACGGTGTGATTTAGAGTAACTTTACAAATGATTTTACACAATGGAAGATTGTCCCATTCGCTGAAATTAGTGTAAATAATTGATAATTACTATCTAGCTCATGGTTAATATAAACATAAATTCAAATTGTAATAATAAAACAATCTGTCCAATAACAATTTTTTCGTGTCTATTATAAATTAATTGTATTGTTCTATCAGCTTCGTGGTAGTTTTTTCATGTCTACGCATAGTTACATTAATATTGAATATGAAAAATATTTATGATATTCAGGTGGACCATTTTAGCTTTAGCGTTACGGATACATTTAAGTTACGTTACCTTGTGAATGATACATGGCAGAGGGGTAACAATGCACCCATTTTCTTTTATACTGGAAACGAAGGTTTCATCGAAACTTTTGCACAAAATACGGTAAGAATCTCTATATACTAAACTGTATTCCGATTAACCGGTGTGCTCGGGACTGAAGAATCCACAGATAAATAAGTCTACGATTCATTCGAATTAAACGTCACGACTTTATTTCGACTAGTAGAATTCCAATTTAATGCACAAGAACTTATATTACGAATATTGTATACCAGTTAGTACAAGCGTCGGGACAGCAAACGAATTTAAAGTTCAAACATGTCTGGTACCTCAAGCAAACGACCGTCCTCGGTCACGCTTCGCAGTCGCAGAGACGCACGGTTAATCTGCTCTGGATAACTTAACCTAACCTCGCTTAATCAGGATTCTACTGCAATTCATTATAGATCTACAGGACTAAATAAATTTAGCAAATTATTCAATTAGCTATTTTTTTACTTTATGGAAAAATGTTCGTTTATAAAGTGAACAGGAAGTAATCACTAGCATACAGTCTAATCTAAATAGTTAATTAGCCGGATGTGGCGCCCTTGTCGGTACATTTAATACAAGTTTTATGAAGCAGATATGTAATTTTTAAATATTATTAATATTATACTCAAATATAAAGCAATATTAGAACTCGTTGAAAAAATGTGTATATTCATAGTCTTAATAGGATAATTGAATAATTGTTAACCTGTAAAAAATCATGTTCATCTTTTTAGGGCTTGATGTGGGATATTGCTCCACAATTTGGCGCCTTACTTATTTTTGCAGAGCATCGTTATTACGGAGAGTCAATGCCTTTCGGTAATAAATCATTCTCCGATGCTAAACATATGGGATATTTAACATCTCAGCAAGCTATGGCCGATTACATTGATTTAATTAATTATTTAAGATCTGATACAAAAACGAAACACAGCCCAGTGATTGTTTTTGGTGGTTCTTACGGTGGAATGTTGAGTGCTTGGATACGTATGAAATATCCGCATATTGTCCAAGGGTAAGAATAAGCCAATCCTTGCAGAATACTTTACCACTATCTTTGTATTACGTCAAGGGTCAAGTTATAATCTGACTAACCTAACATCAAGCAAATATATACTTATAGATAGCGAGTGACGTGTTCTGCAAAGTCCATAGTGTAGAGAATGCAATTTCATTTTATTTTACAGAGCAATCGCAGCCTCTGCACCTATATTACAATTTTCGGGTGTCACTCCTTGTGAGGCTTTTGCACGTATTGTCACTTCAGACTTCAGAGCAGCTCATCATGAATGTTCAAACCTCATACGAAAATCATGGTACACAATTACAAACGTGACATCGAGCGGTAATGAACTTTATCAATTGAAATCTACATCACTTAATTGCATCGTTGGGAATTAGTTAGGATTCAGTTTAATTTTGTATGATATTAATTTTAGACGAGGGGAAAAAATGGTTTAAAGAAAATTGGAAGTTATGCTCTCCATTGGTGAATGCGACTCACGTGAGAGCCTTGAAAAGCTGGCTTTCAGATATATATGGGAATTTGGCTATGGTCAATTATCCATATGAAGCGAATTTCCTGGCTCCGTTGCCTGGATATCCTATTACAGTAAGTTAGGCATTTATGTTTTGGAAGGTTTTTCTGTTAGAGTATTTTTTTTCTTCATCTAGCAAACTTTATCATACATTTCATAAGTAAAAATCATCTTTGATCAAGTTCTCGTTATGATTAATTTTTGTATTTACAGGCTGTTTGTAAACATCTCGTAGAACCGAAATTAGAAGGAAAACCTCTTTTATTGGCTTTGAAAAAAGCTATCAATGTCTATACTAATTTTACCGGTAAAACTGAATGCTTATCCATTGATAATGCAGCGCCAAATTTAGGTGATATTGGTTGGTCATATCAGGCATGCACAGAAATGGTTATGCCAATGTGTAATGATGGCATCAATGACATGTTTGAACCTGAACCGTGGGATTTTAAAGAATATAGCGATCAATGTTATAAAGATTATAATATCAGACCTCGTCTGGATTTAGCCTGCACAGAGTATGGTTGCAAAGATCTTTCTGCAGCCACGAACATTGTTTTTAGGTTTGTACCAAATTTTATTTAAAGGTATTAGGACAAATGAATTAATAAAATGTTCTTTGATAGTAATGGTCTGCTGGATCCTTGGTCGAGCGGCGGAGTGTTTAGAAATCTTTCTTCATCCACATCTGTTATAATAATACCGGAAGGTGCACACCATCTTGATTTAAGAGCAAGTAACCCTCGTGATCCAGTCAGTGTTATTAATGCTCGAAAATATCATCGATCCGCCATTAAGAAATGGATCAAGGAATACCGTGATAAGTTTGCATGATCTCAATATACGACTGTTTTTATCAATTATTACTATCGTTTTTAACTATTTTTATATTATAATACTATAACATTGCTTGATAATTTGACTCGTACCATTCATGAATAAACTGAATTATTAATATTTTTTCTGACATTTTCAATCTGAAAGAATCGAGTATTTCATATTTAAATATATTTTTTTAATCGCCTGTTTTTATTGTATTAAGAAATAATAAGTACAGTAAATGACTTGCACGTTGTGGTATATGCTAATATTTTGGCGGTATTTGCGAACTAATTTAAAACTCACAAAAAACATATCAAATTAGTAGACATTTTATATCACAGTACGCAATAAATGCATGGAATTTTTTACATTTAAATAGCGTACAAGAATCCCAGTATAATTGTGTAAATAAGACTTTATATTCTTTATCAATAAAAATATTAATAACAAAGATGTGTCACGTGCTAGCTAAAAAAATATTTTAATATAAGAGATCCATTGGCTGCCATATTTGAAGAAAATTATTTTTTAACGTTTGTGTAGATAGCTAATGATGGATAGCGTTAACTTTATGCAGATATGGCACTTTCATGTTCAATTTTACTATCAGCAATGCCAATTAGAGTGACCGCTATGATATTCTAATATTATTTCTATACGGAATACTAGTTCACTGTACTGAATAGGGAAAATATACTTCAAATATTGGCGATACTTTAAAATTCAATTATGTCGAGTGTGTATGTGTGTCGCTTTCGGTTATACATATGTGTGATGTACGTTATTGACCCAAATTTTATACGACATACATCAAAGTCATGTAAATTACTTTACGTGCCGCAAATGATTTTGTCATCCAACTATTATTGGATATAATATTTAATTTTCGATCTAGTACTAAATATATTGGTAACGTTTAACATATGTTATATTGAAACATTAATTTTTGTGAGTTCTTTTTTTCCGCGCGATATATTTTTACCTGGAATTGGGGAAGTCGTAAAAATATAATATCTCTTCGATTTTGTTAAAACTTTTTCAAGTGACTTTTTAATACATGACAATCCCACTTGTACTTTCATAAGGTAACTTAATAGCTGCGACAGTTGACATCATGTTTTATTATACGTAAAGAGAAAACAGCTGCATTTTTGCACTAAGGGAAATATTAAATCCCTAGAAAACACCTATTGCCCGAAAGTCGTCCTTAAGGCAGTATCCTGCTTTAGGAGGCCTAAAAAAAGCGTTTTTCCGGGAACTCTTTTAAGACAGAAAAAAAGTAGCGAACTTAGAAGATTATTTTATTGCATATTTGAACATTAAAAAAAATTTTTTTGAGCGAAAAATATTCATACACAGCAGATTTTTATGCTCATTTGTGCAACACCTTGCAATTGCAGTCTCCAATCGGCGGGAAAGATGAAGCTCGCAATTTTCGTTTGAAACAAAAAAACTGAAGAAAATTTTAATTTCCATATATTTTTCTTCTAGATGAACTAAGAAAAACCGAAAAATTTGTGAAATCTAAAATTTTTCTCAAGTTTGAAAAAAAAATGTTTTTTGTGAAAAAAAAATCGTTTTAACTTGCTAAAAAAGTTGTTTAGAACTTTTTTCATGAATCTTTTTAGTTCAAATAGAACAGAATACAAAACTGAAGCTAACAAGCCTTGGTTCGTTTTGATTGGTCGTCTAGTTTTCCTGCAATCACGCCCACCAGTTTAGAAAAAGCGTAAAAATGAAAACTGGAGAAAACGCGCTTTAAAGTAAAGGAGCGCGCGCTCCAGGTGCCCATACGCCATTGCGTTTAGTGCTGTATATTTGAAAATATTGTGAATTAGCCTCTATAACTTTAAATACATATTCTTGGATACATTAGGAATAGATTTAGGCAATAAAAAAAAAATCGATTTTTCGACCCTTTTAAAGCAGGATACTGCCTTAAGACATATAACACGGTAGAGCTTGTCTTTTTGGCATCTTAAAGATGACTAAGATTTGTATACTGCTTAGGTTCAGTGACATCGTACGGAGTTTACACTCATGACCAAATATTCCGCAAAACTTTGAAAACTGTACAAGAACTGATATCGCGACTGCATTGTTATTTAGAGAGCAATAAAACGAGATAATGTCGAGTAGTTACAAAAAGTTCTAGAAAAATTATCTACGAAAAATAAATATCCGCGCCTCGCATGATCCAAATTCTATATTTATTGCGGTGTACGTCGATGAGCTGTTGTTGGTCGTGGTACACCAGAACGACCTCTTAATTTTCTTGGTTGCACAAGGTTGTTCTCTGCTCCAGTATTGTATGATAGGTAAATATTGGATAGATCTGGTTGAGGTTGCTGCAAACAAATATCAAAATTTGTATTCGATAAATTCATTCGAATGTTATATGAATTTTATAGCAAAAACTATATTTACGTCTTTGTTATTTCCTATCGCTGTTGTCACTTGAGCCTTTCGCATGTTGTTCCCTGTGTAGGCTACACACTTTAATTGCCATTCGCCAATATCTTCGTTCCAATGAACATACCTTTCTATCATTGTCTAAAATACAGTATTATTCCAGTGAAAATCAAATAGATTCAGTTTGTTTGATTCATATTATGGGTTTTGAGTGAAGGTACATACTTGATATTGAACAGGTATATAATTATGAAGTATAAGTTCTTGGAGCTGTAGTTCCCGTCCAATACCTCTGACACCTTCCAGAAGTCCTTCCATTTCTCTTTGATGTTCTTGCTGTAAATCTGAGAGTTCTGCTTTGGCTTGCAATAACATTGTATAAACTCTTGCTAATTTTTTTGTTTTTCCTGCTGCCGCGTCCTGCAAAGAGGAATATAATTCTTCGATATCTATTCGCTCAGCTTCTTTTTCCTCAATGGCCTTTTTCAGTTGTTCTTCCCGGCTTTTACGTTGTTCTAGTTCAACAGCTGCTGCTGCTAGAAGATGCTCCTGAGCTTCGGCTTTCTCTAAAAGGTTCTCACCTCCAACTAGTATTTTGTTTTGCAAATTTTGCATTTTCTCTCTTAAAGCCTCCTTCTCACTCCTGTATAATGGATTATATATGTATATATTAATCAAATTTATTACTGACAAGTGCGACGGCACTTAAAGGGACATACTGACCTAGGAAGGTAAAAAAAAAATCTTTTTCCCATTTTTTACATTTTTCTAAAAGCCTAATGTTTCAAGAATGTTATTCTGAAGTTTAAATTTGTGAGAATAACGAAAATATAGTGGATTACAAATTTTGTTTCTTTATACGTTTAAACCTTATATAAAACTTTAAACGCATTTCTTCTTAACATATTTTGGCAAAATTTTGTTTATTACCTACATGTATAATATTTTCCACCGGACAGAAAATTAAATAAACCTCATCGTTTTCTAAATAAATCTTCAAATTTTCTTATTTGTAACCTTCCTAGATGGGCACACCTCAATACTCACTGGGTTCTCTTTAGTTCAATGACATCTTTGTCATCCGGACTCTTGTTATCTTTCTCGGCTTTGTCAGCCTTTTCCCGCGATTCTATGTCTCTGTCGTCTAATTCATTCATTGTTAAAATTTGACTTCTTCGCTGTCGTGCTTTACGTTCCCTCCTCATTTCCACATTCTCTTCAGAGTCTTCTGTTTCACCTTCAGATTCTGAAATTTCAGCACAATTTTCTTCAAGTTGTTTTCGCAACTGTTCAATTTCCACTTGAAATTGGCGCAATAGCGCATCTTTAGGATCTTCGTTGATTCTTGCTCTGTTTTTGATATTCTTGGCGCGATTAGCATAACGTAACGTGCTTATTGTTTCGTCATAATTCATATCGGCGGGACTGATATTTGCACACTGAAACGAATTATAATGTATTTAATTATGAAACATTGCCGTCTACGAATAAGCATACCATTAATGTTTTAGAATTGCCGCCCAATGAGTCTTGAAGTAATCTGGTTAGCTTTGAATTTCTGTAAGGTACATGAGAACTTTGTCCATCAACCAGTGCCGATATAACATTGCCCAATGTCGAAAGGGATAGATTTATTTTTGTAGCTTCTCTTAATCGAACGCCACTTGCTTTGGTTTTGCTTTGTCTTTCAGATCCCTAAGAAGTATATCATTATCATGAATTGTTGCCTTTACGAACAAACATGTATTGTTAGCGCGATTGTAAAATACGCACAGCTAAGTCTACCAGGTGAAGTTTACCCATTTTTACATGTTGCTCCCCGTCCTCTCCAAGTTGACTAGATTCGACGGTTATTGTGAAAATTGCATGGGAACGTGAACTAGATACGTTCATTGCCGTTGCGCCAACGACCCCTTTAAGTAATAAGGTGAAGCGTTTTTCAAGTACAATAATTGGTATCATAATTACGATAAAATCAAAAACTTACGATTTTTATTTCCAAGAGTCATAATACGATCCAAATCATCGGCATTATTTACTACGTATCCGCTTAGATCTTTTACAAAGACACCAATGTCTGGTCTCTCTTTTACCTCTAACCGAGTATTCTGATCTTTTCCTAATAAATCTCTGACTTCTTCATTATAAATTTCCAAATATGTGGCCCGTACTAAAAATCTAAACATTGTTGTAATATATGCAGTTAGTCTGTAAAAAATATTTGCATATAAGGAGATATAAAAATTTACTTTTGATTTTCATCAGCTTTAGCAATGTGTCCAAATATATGGGCAAATGTATTTGGAATAATGCCCCTCAGCTGTGGAGAAGTTTTTGCGCCAGACATTGTATATGTTTTGCCTGTGCCAGTTTGGCCATAGGCAAGTATTGTACCATTATATCCTTGTAAAACTTTATCCACGATAGGTCTGGCAGTTTCATTGTAAATGTCAACTTGCGTCGAATCTGTGTCAAAGACAGCATCAAAGGAAAAAACCTTAGGTGGCTCCCCATGTACAGCATTTGGATTTTCAATAATTATTTCACTGTTCAATGCATCGACGATCGTGACATTTTTACAATGACCATCCAATTCTTTTCCATTTAATGGTCGTACTCTGACAACTACTCTTACGTTTTCTACTTCCCCAAGCTCTGTTGTATTATCCTATAAAAAGAATTAAAATACAAGTTTTAATGTTTTGAAAAATGAATATAAGTCTTTATAAAATCACTACATCATAGAGTGTCACAATATTCTTTTATAGGATTCCGTACAATTTGTAGATATACGTATCTCTGCAATATTGTTTATGAAACTAAGTTTATTTATACTTTATTCATTTTTACTAACCGCATAAACAAGCATGAGTTACACGAGTGTATATTTGTAATTGTAAAAAATTGCAAATCATGTTGTAGTTATTCTTATATGTAGAGGCAGTATTAACATATTTTGACAGAAGTTGCGACTGTCAAACGTATGTCAATTTAATGTGCTTCTGTATAACTAAGAAGAGACATAAGGTCAAATAGAAGTTTAGGAGATGTATGTACTTACTCCAGATCCTGGCATTTCTTATGTATATCAATAAAATGCACAGTAAAAATAATTTACTGCATAATATCAAGGTGCCAGAGAAACCAGCCAAACTAGCAGACGGCCTCATAAACAAATGGATCGATGTATGACTGTTGCAAGTGGCGCCCAACAGCCTTTCTCGATCGTTAAATCCCATAGCATGGTAACTGACATATTTTATTGTCGGTCGATCTGAGAAGGTAACCAATAGTGTTATCATTTTTATTAACAACGTATCATGAGGTACATTAAAATTAATTTAATTCATTTTTTTATGTCTTTATTTGAATCATACGGAACAACGAAAAACGTTGATGTATCTCGAATGAAAATTGGCCGATAATCTCTTTTAACATGACATTTATAATTTCAATAGATATATTATATTTCAATATAGTTTTTTGACTTAATAAATTATATAAAATACCGAATTTTATGTTCTCCAGATATTTTACACAATACACTATGGTCTAATACGAACAGTGCTAACTATCCAGGAAATATTATGAAACTCCTAACGACATTCACATGAAATGAACTCTATCACGGTTACACATGTTCGGTCAGACAGATTTGCAATCAAGAAAAACATGCGTTCAAGTTGTCCCCAAATCATCTATGGGAAATAATGCGAGCATGTGGCTTGTAAATGAGAAGTCATTCATAGTAGGTGAAAGTTAAAAAGTGAATAATTGCACTTGTATTCACGCAACATAGCTCGGAGGTCAACGAGCAATACGCGGTGAACGCGTATTCAAATTTGTTCCTAGAATAAAAACTGTAATAAAAGAAATGAGAAGCAATAGAAAATCAATTCATGCAAAGTTTTATTTGTTTCGTTCATGAAACATATACAACTTGTTTATTTTATGCCTCTCAAAGAGAAGAAAGTGCAGCGGATAAAGTTTCTGGTACATACATGCCTGCATGAGAGGCGCTGGCACACCCAGCTTCGAAGCAGTAAGGACAGAACAGGCTAAAGAGATGTAAAGGAGAAAGAAAATGTAAGAGGTAGAAAGCAATGCACTCGTAAGTGTGTTCCATTCGTTTCGGTCCATTTAAATCGGTTTACCACTACGCAAAGTCACCTTTAAATAAAACATTTTTATACTGCACACAATTAATAAGCGCGCACAAAACTTGCAAACAAAATTGATATCATGTAATTATTGTTATGAAGTACGACGAATTTGATAGAGACTTTGCAAGCTCACCATTTATTACTTTTTAAATTTGTAAATAATATTGTGAGTTAATATTAATGGATCTTTCCGCGATTACTATTTTTCCATATGGTGTAAACACAGTTCGATGAATAAGACAAATGGCCTATGTAACTTGCCAAACCAATGATACATTTAGTTTTAAATTGAATTCATTAGCACGGTTTTGGGCATCTACAAAGGCAGACTTAAGAATCTCATTTAAACGATAAATCGACAATTGTTCACTGTCGAAGAGATTTACTAACGAGAGTCCACTTTACAAGAACAATGACACAGAGAATCTAGAACACATGCCGGCATTGTAGGGTTGAGAAAGAACCCCTCTTCTTATGCATCATAACTCCCTTCCCTGTCCTGTTCACTGCACCCCAACCTCAGCGAGCACGTATGCATCCTCGTTTGAAGCGGAGCAGCTGACGATCGTAACAATACGTACCCTATGTGCCGCGAACACTGGAAGAGACTATAGCCAATGACGACGTGAGCAGACTTGAGTGTACACGCCATTAGAACAGCGTCAGTCGACCAGTCTGTACATTTTTTTATTCAGCACTAGTTCATATTCAGAGAATTTAGAAGAAACGTTGAAATATTTTTTAAACGGTTAATAAAAAATGTCCTTACAGTTAATCGTATGATTTTATCAAGATAACAATGAACAGTAACTAATCCGATAACTAATTGTTAAGGACACTCATAAACCATTATCGTTACACAATCCAACACGAAAAACTGTTTCAAGGATTAGTCAGAGAAATATATACCATTGTTAGTATCTGGTACGTATAAATAATTGACAGTCGTTAATAGAGTTTTATTAAAGTCAACGCCCGACATACAAACATCCATCCTTTCCCTGGCTTCTTTCCAAACAAACTCAGCCAGTCAGTCACCTGGTGTCTGCTGTACGCCACGTATGTCTCGCTGCCTTCCTCCGTTACCGTTTTCAGACTATATGAACCTTCTTTTACTCGCATCCCCTATAGCCTATTCATTCAGCATCATCGCTCTCTAGATAGAGCTTGTGTCTCCCGAAGATCCAATCTTCGTACTCTTGTTCTTTATCGGTTTGTCAATTCGATACGTCTAACAGTGGTAAAATTAATAAAAGCTTATAATTGAATAAGAAATCTTCAATTACACATCTCGTCTACATAAATTCTATAATATCGATCGAACTTATACGTGACCCCTATTCTTAGAACGATCCAGTGAATATATTTGATGACCATTTATTGCTTAGTGGGAATTTTATTCAAAAAGAAACTATAAGGCCTACAGCACATGACAAGAGAAAAAGAAAAGATAGAAAATAAAACAGGGTACGAAAATTTTCAAGTGGCGACATCTACGATATATATATATATATATATATATATATATATATATATATATATATATATATATATATATATATATTGATACAGTTTTCTTCAACATTTCATGCAATTCTCGTCGTGTTTTGTTCCTGTATACGCGAAACCTTTTGAATGCTCGTATATTGTTACATATTGTACATAGGAACGGATCAAAACATTGTGTTACGTGTGGTACGCAAAATATTATTGTTTAATTTTCTTTGTGCTTTATTTAAAATTTGCTGCTGAGGCGTCATTGTTATATGGTGTTAATACGGACAACGATATCCGAATAGCGGGATGTGACTGGTCTCGGGTGTACTTCTGGTTCGTGAGTGTGGTCCAAGAACCTAAGAAGGGAGAAGTGTGTTCTGTTACTTAGCTCTCTTCTCTTCTGCTCTGTGGTGGCAGGTCAGTGTTACCCTGGTTGTGGCGGTGAACGGTTGCGTTTCTGATCAACCTTATAATTAGTGAAATTTAACTGTGGAAGTTATTTTCGCGCTGTCTGGTGAATACGATGTGTTCGTGTGAATGACGAAATGGAAATGTGAAACCGCCGCCTGAAAATCGTTCTTGGACGAAATCGATAACAGGTTTGTAATTTGATAACATTCAAATTTAATATTACATGAAGTAAATTGTAATTCGATAACGTGAAACATCTACGCTCAATGTAACATGCGATTTAATTAAATATATTTCAAACGTTTACATATACATATAACTTCTGCGAAATACGAATTTTTCTCTAGTAAAAAATTTATTTTCATGAGGTTTCATTCCTGACATTCTTTTATATCCCTAAACGAGTTAACTCATACGCTATTTCAGGTTAGATTCAGTATTTATTTAACGACTGTTCTTTTAATACGATAAATACCACTTGAAAGAAAATATCATAATGAACCATGAAAGCTAGAAAATTTATGGTATATTTTTCAGTCTATTGTTCGAGGACAATACACGTTCAAAATATAATGCTTGACGATCCATAAAAAGTGCCTAAAAAAGCAGTATCGCGCTCGTCGAAAAGCACGTGAGTATATTGTTCAAAGCTGCAAACAAACACGAAGAGATAATGCCAGACGTGAGTTCACCTCTAATATTGTAGAATAGGAAAATGCGATTATTTTAAAGTAGCAGAAAAATTTGTTCTACGCGTGGATCAGAGAAGCAAGATAAACTGAAACTTGGATATTTTTAACACTAGATTTACCATCTATTTATTCATTTTGACTGGTACTGGTATAAATATCAATAACAAAAATTATATTTGTTACTAATGTATATAAAAGTCTAGCTACAAAAGTCATAACATCATTTCTGAAATCAAATTATATATGTAGTAGGATTTTTGAATTGAAATTGCACGACCAGTCAAAGTGACTGATCTGGTAAATCTAGTGTTAACAAGCGTCCATGAAATTTCTGGAGATACGATCAGAAACATTTCCAAGTTTATGCTATATCTGTTAATGAACACATTGATTTTCTATAGTTATATAAGACAATTAACTATATCACTGCCGTTCCGTATAAAGTACGTGTCGGTTCGTATATTAAAATGAATAATTTCATAAGAATTTTTAACAAATCTTTGATGTATATGAATTGTCCAGAGTCATAACTCATTTATTGGCACGACAAATCAAACAAACCTTTTTATCTTTTCTCGAGAAGTCACGTGATTGGATTTCTAACACTCGAAGGTCTCATACTCACTGGGGAGTTTATACCCGTTTTTTCTTAAAGAAATTCTCTGAAACTCTCAAGCCATCTTGCGGACAGTGCACCATGCACCGTAAAGTTGGACCCCGAGGATCGTTATGGTATGTGCGGGATGGGGCAATGCAATGTGGCACGGTAAGGCATGGTGCGTAAGACAGATGTTGCTCAAGAAGCAAATAAAAGAGAGACTAACGACGAGCTGGTAGCTGCAAGCAACGCGAAGACGACTGACTCCATCGCTAACGTTAGTCGCCATTGTTACAATAATTATAAACGTAATGGTACGAACTGCCAAGGGATCCTTAAAATTTGACAAGGTTCTCACGTTCCGTTTATCTGTTTTTCTTTTTGTTCATAAGAATCATCAAATTAGAATGATTCCGCGTTTGGATGACCTTCGACGTGTCCGGTGTAGATTAACTGGTCACGTTCCAGCATTTCATGAGAGTTTCGGGATTTCGCTTGAAACGTAAAATGGCTATGCTGTAACTCTTGTGTATAACAATTGAATTTTCAGAAGAGGTGCCATTCAAAAGTACATACGAGTCTTGAGTAAAATTTAAATAACGGGATGGAATTTGAAACCAACGTAATAATCGACAGTGAGACGTGCTTCGAATTCCCCTTTTTCCCATTAAGTACTATCATTATTGTCTATTCTTCTCTTGAGGAATGAGGCGTGGTGCTTACTTACGTGCTGCCCTTTGTCATACGTGTAACGGTGGTAAGACAATCGCATAAGAGATAATTATTATGATGAAATTCATTCGTCTTTAAGGATCAGTGTGCTTAAGAATTCTATTATAGTAAGTTGCATGAAAATTCATGCGTATTACGCAAGAAGGATGTCTCGGCAATCTCCCAGATTGAGAATATCGAAGCGTGGCACGCACAGTGCCGTTACACAACGGGGCATTCGATGCGTCCTCATAATGACGGTACATCTCGGTGGTGGGTTTTAATGCGCCGGTGTGTTCGCTATAAATTATCAATCTTCCAACATTAATTGAGTGGTAAAATTACACGGAACGAACAGCAACTCGTAAATTAATATTCGAGTCGGTTTCTTTGTTCTTTCCCAGCGACAAATCGCGTATCGTACCATTTGTCTTTATGTCGGAAAGAAAATTTTCAATTTACCTATCAAAGTAATAAAAAAGTATTAGTAGGGTAATACAAAAATCTATTGTTACTATTGTCATAACTTATAATATGTACATACTATCTAGTAGATGATTATTCACTTGTAATGCTAAGTTTTATTTTCTACAACAGAAACGTACAATTCTACTCGAGATGGACTTGCAACAGAGAATACTGACCGCACTATAGTAACAATACGTTACTACCGTAAGAGAGCTTTACCATTGGCTCTTCTGCAATGTAGACAATTTTTTCCGTGTAGTATACGCCATCATTATACTAGTAGCTTTAATGTGCGTAGCCGCGCTGCAGTGTGCTGTACGCCCATCCGAAGCCCGAATGGCCAACAGTTCAATACCCGTCGGATACGAATGGAATGATAAATAACTTTTAAGAAACAGTTTTTAGATATAGTAATATGTGTGTTAAGCATATATGCGTAAAGTATTATCGCATACGTTACATTGTCAAACACATTTTCCCAAACCAACCGCAAGCGATCCGCCATCACGACATATACTCAGGCTAATGGCAAATGCACATTCCATAACTAACTTGGACTCGTCCAAAACCTTGATATCCTCATCGTAGCAAATGCCAAAGTACAGTATACACAACCATTGACAGATTACGAATCCAACCACTAATTATTCCTTACCTCGCTAGCCTGCGGCTTTTTACTATAAATACGTAAATGCTTATTCGGGTAATAATTATTAACCAGAATTTTGCTGCGGTAAATTATTTCATCCAATAAACCTGTCGGGTTTACCCTACGACTGGTTGTTACTATTTCGAAATTCTAATCCTGGGCCTGGGTTCATGCTACATATACTTTGACTACTAACCAAACTATATTAGTATATATAAAAACAAAAAAGGTTGGAAATAATTTTAAGGACATTTTCTTATCTTTTTAAGGATTATGCCAGTTAAATCTTCTGTACAAGGAAGTATGTTGACATTTGAAATAGTGATATGGACACGTATACCTTATGTGCTATGTATGCTGGGAATGGCGCAGGCGCGTCTTACGAGCGCGATTGCGGTGTTCTGAAGGAAAACTAAGGCGCAGACACAGTTGATCAATTCCGAAAACGAATAGCATTATAACCAGTGCGATGCCAAAAGTCACCGAGCGAGCAAGGAAAAGCCTCTTTGTACACGTGTTTATTTCGGGATCTATCGTTTCTCAAGTATTTAAAATTTATAAAAGAAAACAATACTACTTTTCGTACTTTTCAACTTAGAGGAAGTTATATGTGGAACTTTTTTTGAATCTTTTAATTTGAACTTCTGATAAATTGAAGAATTACAGTGCCAGTGGTTGGTCTTGCTATAATTTCGTGATAAATATGATAACGTTATATTGGTGAAAATATTTTATGTTCCTAGGATGATTTTAATTTTCATTTAAGTTTTAAATTTTCCTTGTATCCAGTATACAACTTTCAAGTTCAATCTGACGTAACTTGCTACAGGTACAATACAGACCTGACACTTGTCTCAGGTATATTCATATATGAGAATCACGAGATTACGAGATCAATTCAAGAGAAAATTTATAAACGCAAAACTTGTTAAATCAAAATAAGAATAGGATACGTGGAACGATTTAAACAATTTCATAATACAGATTATATACTGTCCCTTTGCAATTTACTTATACATACTTCGAAATTCCAAATAAGAATTATTTTACTTTTCGATTTATGCTACTTGCATGTCTATAATTCATTGCACATAACATACATGCATCTTTACAGTGCATAGATAGATGCAATATTGGAATCATGATGAACAAGTACAGTATAAAAAAATTCAGGTGAGCACAATTTCCTCCCTTGCGTACACAGTTAAAGTTACTGTTTTATTACTAAATTTCTTAATTACCCTATAGAACAACGTAACTAAATTACATGTTTCCCGAATCTTATACTTTTAGCGTGAGACAATCACGATACAATAGATTATGTAAGCAGTATATTTATAGTCGGACTGGGTACATGGAATTTCTTATAAGACTAGGGCTACTATATTTCCCCATAACCAGGGCTAACCAGATGCCTTTAACTACATTCTCAATATCACAGATGTATTTCGAAACGTTTAAAAATCAATTTCGATTTTTTTGTCTAAAAAATTAAATTGTAAATTAGACGACGGGTTTTTGCAATATGAAAATAACTTTGTCTTAATGTTTTGAGATTATGTAATTGGTTGATCATTCTTAATGGAATGATTTCAAAGTAAATACAATTACGAAATCTTTATCGTTATTCGTATTGGCATTGACCGTAGAATGTAGACTATTGTCAATTACATAATTGTAGCTGAATGGATACTTGACTGTTACTGAATTCCTGTACATATGTATGTAGGAGTATATGTATATTCATATGGGACATTTAAAGTCGAAAATACCTATTTATATTATCATTTAATGGTACATTTACTCCTTATAAGTTCGTCCTCGTTTGTCCTTTTGATGTATTGCATAATTAGGCGTACGATCCAATTAGACCGAAATTACTAATGTCACACTTGTTATTTGATACAGCCTATGACACGTTTATGACAATTATTCGCAAGCGGAATATATTCGCATTATTCGCACTTGTAGCCAAAATGTGTTAGCGTGCAGTTGGAATTATCCGGATAAAAGATTCTTAAATTATTCATTCGAGAATTTTACGTCAGAATGAACCATAATGGATATAAGGAAGACTAGAGTTTATTTTGGCAGGAATAGTCAGTTCGATATTGCTGTTTTTTACATTTTTCTTTTTCTTGAACCTTTGTAGTTCATATTTCAATAGGTTTATTACAGAAAAAATGTGTATCAGTCTTCATTGCGAATGTTAGTGAGACACGATTGTCAAAGTGTTCGGTGTGTTCGGAAAACATGTGCCTTTGTGATTAATATAACTAAATATCGATTTTCTAATATAACCTGTAGCTTCCGTTGTAAACTTCCATCGAAAATACTTATACTCGCATATGTTGTAAAATGGCCTAAGTGACTGTTGTCATTCGTCGTAGAAAATTTTAATTATTAAATTATTTGCCAAAATCATCGTAGACGGTGCATATCAAGTGCCTTCAAATATAAATAATGCAGCTACTATCGACATTTATGGCGAGACACTTGAAGCGTGGCTCTTCCCTGAAAAAAGGTAGGATATAATGAATTAAATTTATACCGCCAATGCAAGTCTCGATACAATGAATATACGTTTTTATGGCTGCAATGATTATAGACTAATTTTATTTCCTAATTCTCATTATTTGAACAGATTTGTAAAGTTTTACTGTGCTTATAATAATTTATGATTACTAGGAGCGATAGCACGTCCACAGCTGAATTATCGATTGGAAACAATTTCTCTTCCTATCCTCATATGGTATGCTTCTCTCCGTGGCGAAGATAAACAATTCCCTTTAAAGGAATTTACTTTTTCGTTCGATACTTGAAACACTTTTATTGGAAAGTAAATTTTTATATTATTAAACAAACCGTTTCTATCATGTTTAAAATGAAAAGCGCAAAATCTAATGTTTTATTTGATCAATATTTGTTACAATATCTATATGCCTGTGTGTGTCTAGCAAAAGCCTAGCTTAGGATCACGCGATGTTCATTCTCTCACAATCAGTACGATTCGTTCGTTCTCGGTAACAGTATGGATTTCTTCTTCAAATATACAGAGTCTTGGACTTACTTTTTGTTAATATACATACGAATAATGTATAAGGACCGCAAGAATCACAGGTACGTGCATGAGCTTAGTCAGAGAAATTTTTACTTCGGAAAGGTTCAAAACCAATTGTGCATCTTATTAAATTTCCATTCAAATATCACTGCTTTAATCCCCACAGGGCGTAAATATTGAGTCGACACGAACGATATCGTCTTGGTTGTGTTTCTTAAGAATCCGATGCGTCGAACTTTGGGGCAAATATAATTTTATAGCGCAGTGCTACGGTGTTTTCGACGTATAAGAAAAATCCGTTGCGTCCTGCGCGTGGTTTCGTTGCAGACACATGGATCATTAATTATACCCTTGCAAGAAACCCCAACATGAATTATTGACCTAAGATAAGCGTCCTTGATTTTGCACTCTATCAAGACCTCTGTAAATTCGGACATTAATGGGACAATAATAATTATCTTGGCAGTATTAAATTCATCATGATTCTCACCAATATCAAATTTCACAACATTACGTATTTCTGTTCGATTTAACCCATGAGAATAGTGCTTATTATGTGTAAAGTAGTACCTATCCAATCACCTTATAACAAATTTCACCATCAAACTACGAAAAAACTCTTTCGCATACTAAACATTGTACTATACTAATTTCTCCCTTTACATTTATTAATTCTAGACAACCTTATCTCAGCCATGCGAAGAAATGCCTCACTGTGCCGCAGAGGGTTGTAATCCAAGTTCCTTATTAGATCGTCTTTATAATGCCAAGGTCGTGTCCTGGTTTGCCCTCATTCCAGCCATTACATTGCTGCTTGATGAATTTTAGAGCGATTTAGGTCGTTGCGTGAAAGAGCTTGTAGATATACGAATTGATTTTATCATCAAATGGGGTTATAGATCGATGCACAAGACCGTCACATTGTACTAAGAAACATTTTGTTTCTATAAAATATTATTAATTATTATTACAAGGTATCGCCCATTAGATTACTTCCATGATCGTGCAGGTTCCCGTATTTCCTTCCTACGTAGGAATGCAGCTACTATCCATATGTATTTATAGCGGAACTGCGAGGCGATTGATTTAGTAACTGTGCAATAGTGGCCACTATTCTCCGGAAAGACTGTCGACTATCTATCACTAATAATACTGCACTATCAATTAGGTCTTACCTGACGTCTTAACAGCCATACCTACGTATGGCATACGTATGTGCCGCAATACAGGGTTGATAGTATCTCGGCGCGACATGCGTGTGTATCATGATAGGGTTGACATTATGTGAGATGTATGTAGAAAGTACACATACGATAAGTAACATAAGGAAATAGCGATGTACGTAGAAAATATTTTACATACGAAGTGAAACCCTTGACCTTGATGCATCCTATTGTATTCGTGTTGTATTTTTTCGCCCTTTTTCTCTCTTGGCGTACAGGTTATCGGAGATGTTGACGTACACGTATGAATATAAGGTTACTCGATGCTCCCTCGTGTTTCATGGTTAAGTTACTCATCAGAGTAATTGCTTGGGGTGCCTTGTGATATTTATTGTTTCACGTGTGGTTATCGATGAGATTTTACGATATATGGGATAGTCATATTGCACATAGTTTTACTGTATTTTATTGTTTCTTTTTTTATTTGTTTTACAGGGAGGCGTGAAAGTGGTGGCGATTCCAGCCTTGTTGGCCATTGGCCAGGTCCGTCGGGGGCTTCATTTAGACCCTTTAACGACAGTTCTAGCTGTAGTCCTGTTATCACAGGTACTACGATGACGCCAGACGATCCAGCCCCTGATGAAGAGTTTGCGTTAGCTGTTACACAGAAAGCTGAGGTATATTTAATAAATTGAATTATACGGTACATGGTTGGAGACAGAGAGAAAGAGATGCCTTTTAAGATATAGTATGCCATTCATCAAGAATACAGATTTTTATGTCAATTCGAAATTGCTTTATACATTCTGAATCATTGGCTGCTCTTTAATTTCGTTCGAGAAATTCTATTCATTCAAGGCATTGAATTACATGGGATATGAATCATATACTTTTGGAATTGAGTAAAGTATAATTAGAGTTCGCTTTTGGCGTTACTCATAAAGTATCGATCAGCAGTTGTGGTACGTCCGTGCAAGATCACGGAATTTAAGATTGCTCGTATGTACATTTTACGCTCTTCATTCCGCGCTTGTAGTGTGCGCGAAATCAACACGCTAATCTCACGGAGTAAAGAGAAAGTCGTGCAGATAGCAGCCTTCGATTTTTCATAGGGTTTACGGAATGGCCATAGTAGAGTGACCTTATTTCACAGATTTGAGATATTTCTTATTTAGTACACCACTGTCACTAGATAAATTCTAATATTACAAACACCGTGATACGTGATACTGGGAATTACGGTGGGTCGATGTGATACCTTTGTTAAGAAACAGATTTAATTACCAGGAACAAGGTATGTACGATTAAGGAATTCGAATTTATCATTGAAAACTCGATTGATTTTACACGCGATGATTCACAATGCTTCTATCTGACATTTGCAACGGCAGAGTTGCGGTCTTTTACTGTACAGGGTGGTCAAGAAAGAGGATAAAAAAGGGTAATAGAAATCGAATACTGCTGGTTTGGTACGAGAGATGCACATTGTGATGAATGTTCCATTGGCGATTCCATTAACCAGTACGAATGCGTGCTTCGCCTCTGCTTCATCGTGATAAAATATCGTCGACAGGTGAAAGCGTGTTTGTCATTTGTTTTTTTCTTATCACTCGCCAATCCCGATAACATCGCGACGCTTCGTTCCATTCATATTGACTCGTTGCTTCTGTGGTGCGACTGCCGCTATGGGGCCACAGTATACAGAGCCATCCAGCTTCACTGCACCACTCAGATCCTCCAGCAGTGATTCTGTTGATTTACTTTATGATTGATTATTTGTGTCACACAGCCAAATATAATCTGACAGCTGTCAAGCCTGACTCGTGTATTCCGAGTGAATGGACGTGTACAGTAGCCAAGTCTATGACATTACTACCCAGGTACTATTACTTGCACGACTCGATTTTCTCACGAAGAAATCAACTTCGGCTGCCGGTTCATTATAAGACGGTCTCTATACTTACACCAGTATACGTACCTATCTAATGATAAATGCCGACCGCATTGGATAACGCTTTCGATCGGCGGCATTCTTCCATCGGGCAGGTCTTTTTTAAAGTAAACGCGCGTGACTGGAATAGATGAGACCAGAAACGGATGCTCGTCCGAGAAGACTGTAAAATATTTTATGCATCTCGCGATGCTCCTCTGTATAACCTAGGCCTAGCGAGAAAACCGAGGACGGCAGGATCAACAACCTGCCGACACATGGGACGATAGGCTACCGTAACGTAATATTATATTAGTTTAGTATTATACCAATGCATGTACTATACTTTGAAATTTGACTTGACGCTCTACCCTTGTACATTATTAGGTAACGTGACGTAGCATTTACGGATCTTTCGAATACCAAGAAGCACGTACATACGATAATCCATACAAGTATTCTTTTAGTTTTTATCATTATTGCTACTCACTGTTATCAGACTGCACGAAAACTACTCTATTAAATTAGTAAGTACTTGATTATGTTTATTAAAAATTTTCAAAGTTTTAACGTGTCCGTTCTTTTTAAGTTCATTCATTTTTTTATGCGATTTTGTAAGATTAGGACAACATTACAGTCTTTTGATCTTATTGTAATATTATACTGTATTAAGGCATACGGTTCTGGTAATTATCTCTCAAAGCAATGTGGCATTGAAAAGTTGAATTTATGAATACTCTATTCAACGCGTACGTGAGAAAACTATCTAACAACGTTATCCGGTACGGAAGACATAAGATTTCTCATCCGATTTCTGTTCAGATGTTCCTGTCCTTCGGTAAAGCTGTGGCGATTGACAGGTTCATTTGGAGATTATAGAAATTTTCAAATAATTTATCTTTGCATTCGACAATACCAGACACTTGCTTTTCCCTACTGTATATAGTTATGCATTCAAATGAGATTTTATTTATTCACTTACAGAGACAGACAAGAATGCAACGTAGTGTCTAATGGTAACAATTATTCAAATGTTAATTACATACGTAAATCGATGCAAACTGATCGAAGGGAAGTACTTGGACTAATTTATGGCGCTATTCCATTCACTGTAGACGAACAACTTTCTAATTAATGAAATAGTACGTTCTTGACTTAACGGCTATAGCGTTACTATTCCTACGTTGAGTTGATTACGTAAAAGCATTCCACGAGGCAGGTGGTTATCATGATTTGGAACGAGGGATCCACGCTACCATACATTTTTTACGTTTTCAATGTCTATGGATATTTGGAAGACTGTTTTGGCACAAAATACAATATCATTATATTCGATAGTAAAATACTGCTTATGGTTAGAGCGCTATATAAGATTTTTCCTATGAAATATAAATAATAATTCTTCATAACAATACTCCCAGTATCATGGAAATTTATGGTTCATGTTTCCCCTGTGCGAAACCTGATTGAAATCAATCTCTGCAATCGGTGAGACTTAATCTGACCGCAGCGAGGTTAATGACGTGTTCAATGACGTCACGGGGACTACCCCATTTGAAACACGCGATGTTGCGTGAACGCGGACTCGGTACACGTCCTAGATCTTATAACCCGGTAGACGAACGTGACCACTTTAGTCTATCACATTGTAATTATTTTCAATTTCGTTTGAGTGACTCAACACGATTTTCGTAGCAGTAAGATACACGCAGTCCAGTTAACTTAAAATAATAGAAAATCTTTATGATATCAGAGAGATACCGAAGCAGTCCGTGGAGCCTTATATCTTGGACTGGTCCTGACGATTGCATGGATGGTTGGTGCTACAGGACTCTCCTTAGCCTGGCTCGTACTAGTACTCGCTCTAGTGGGCACCATAGTGAAGGCCAGATTATCAAGACTTCTGGAAACAGCACTGCAGCACGAGGTGTCAAGACTAAGACGGAGGCGGGCGCTTTACAAAGATGAAACAGCTGAATGGTTGAGTCTTCTCTTGAATAGATGGTGAGTGTTGTTAATAACGAGAGAGACTCATGTAATGTCCGTTGGATAATAATTTTCTCGATAGACAAGCTATCGTCGACTTAATGCCGGTATAGCGTGATAGCTACTTTCGCCTATCTCACGTGTATCATACGTATACGTAGTAGGTATAGCTATAGCCGAGCAATTATAGTAAGCTCACGCATGCCAGGTAAACGAACTCCGTTAGGGAGTGAGCTATAGACGTTTGTAAACATTCCACATTCCTCATGTAGTCATTGCCTTTCACGTTTCACGTGGCGAGACACGGAGTGTGATCGTTGCCACTGCCGCCGCCATGGGGTTAGAGTAGACACGGGCGGGCAGTCCCTGTCTCTTACTGTGCTGTGGAGTATTCGTCTAACGCCGCTAGAACGGGACGAGAATGGAACTGGAAAGAGTACTACTTATTTGGATAGTTGATAGACCTGTTCGAACATTCCTGGACACCCGTTCCTCGCTCTGGAGAACAGACGCGGGAACGTACACGGTGCTGGACTGTGCTCTCGTACAGTCATATCGCTGGCTGAACTCATATGGATATAGAACATTTAGCTTTACGACTCTAATATTATTCCTGGGTGCCTCGTAAAGTCTTGTCAACGTCATTCAATAGACTTTGTACATATTCTATTACGGATTTTTGGATTGCTGTCGTTGGTTGTGCCTGACAGTACTGAAGTATCTCTAGTAGTTATTTACGTATCGTTCAAGAGAAAGGAGGTTATTCATGTCAGTTGAATGGAAGGAAATATTGGATTCCGTATGGTTGTTTTTTCATGTCATGTATGTCACTTCCTATATTCGTTCTTTAATTTTCGTATTGTATCATTAACGATCAAGATTTAAATTTTTCGTGTGCTTGTGCCTCGTTAGTTCGATTCTTCATACGAGAACTTTATCAGTTTTATTATTGACAGTGTATCATTAAATTGTCGTTACGCTACAAACAGTAGGGTCGTGCTCGAATTCTTTAGTTAGTAGATAAAATTAGCTTTCTATGATATGGTAATTCAAAAAAACGATTGGATGCTATACGAGGAGCTGAATACGTCTGGACAGCGTTCAAGATTGATTGAAGTAACACGTGAGGCCGAAAATTTTACGCTCTAGAAACTCATTGTGGGAAACGTGGACGAGAATTGAAAAATATACGCGTGCCAGCCGAAGAATGCATTAATTTTTTATGCCCGCTTTATCGACTGACAACGTAGTTGACGTAGACTCTTATCTTCAAGATCTTCACAGCGGTCAGGGTCTGCAAAGTCGTGCAAATTGTTAACCTTACATCACTCCGCTTTTTCCGAAATAGTCTATAATTTTACGTTTTACTCGCTAAACTTTTATCGTCGTCTGAATTTTCCGTATAATTTTGCACTGACCAGAGCAACGTTTTACGGTCTTGTCGATCTATATGATTCATCGTATAAAAATATCGCACTAACAACCAAGCTTTTTATTTTACTATTTATGAACCTCGTTTTATGCTGATTCTAGATGCGAATTTCTCACAAAATTGCGTCGCCCTCGTTCGTATGGGAAATACTCGTATACGGTGCTATTAATCAGTTTTACAATTATGGATTTTCGTGACGAAATAACATTTTTTTTTTATCAACTTAATGTCGCGCATGAAAATGTCTAAATATATCCTGCTATCTACTACAATATAACATTAGTATATTCATTAATATTTTAATAGTCGTGTTATACCTTGCTATTCATTTACGTTTGCTTGTACACGATGAATAAGACCCATATGTTCCACGTCGTCAAAAAATGACTTAAATTTTATACTTGGAATTACTAGAGCAACAAATTTTAGTGCTGTAACTGCTTGGACAACAAATTGTGACAATATTAACAATTTCAGTAGGATTATCAAAGTAAACTAGTAAGGTTGACAATCGCAATGGAAAATCGTGATAGACTTATTGTCATTGTTACTAGAATTTGTTGTTGTCTAAATAATCATCATTCTTCTATTAATCATTTTTCTGCGTATATACCCAGCGGGACCTAATCTCAGCAATTTAATCCAAAAAATTAATTTCACATTATTCTCATCGTCAATTTTCCTGACATTAAATTTCCCCGGATGTATAAAGTGTACAAGAATATTTTTAACTTTTGCAAGAAACCGCCAGGAAATCACAGGCTCATTATTTACGAGTATTACCCTAACGCGATATTTCGGTCCTATAACCGATTCACGAGTTCAATTTGCGTTACAGCTTACAAACAATACAATCCTTAGTAAATAACACACTGATTTCCATAAGTCACAAAAATTTACCCTAAAATATAAAAATAAAATATACCTTAGTGCTAAATCATACACATGTATATTTAATTGTTTTTCATCTGTCACAACAAAGCATTCATCTTGTGGACTAACTAAATGTATACATACATATATATAAAAATTCATATTTCATGGCGCTGTCTTATTTTTCCAACATTCATCTTCATTATTGTTTATTATATCGTGTGAACTACCACACAGCTATATCGATCGCGTGCTATTTTTTACACGCGAATTAGTTCATGTTCCATTAATGAAAAACCTTTAACTTAACCTTTCAGAAAATGATTTACGCATATTGATATCCTCTACGTCACTGGACTGTATTATAATTTTTACCTTTATTATCATGTTTCTCATAGTTATTTTTCACGGAATGTATTCTACTTAAATGGAATATACCTATATAGCTTCGACAAAATTCCATCATTCAGAATTTCGTCGAATCATCCTTCGGAGGTACGTTGACCTTAGCGTGGGCAGAGCTTTTATACATTAAGAACGAATAATAGTACAGTTGGAAGTATGCGCGAATTAATACGATTTCAAGAGTTATCGTAGAAGATTGTTTTGAGTGATTATGAATTCAATAAAAATAGTATTGCATATGTATTATAGTTTTTCTTTTTTTTTTATATTTTACGCCTGATTTTGGCACATAGCTATTATAAAAATATCTTTATAATCGTTGCTTTGAACAATTTAGATGAATAATGTAAAGGCATTTACTAAGGAATTAAGTCTAAAATATGTATACATGAGTTTGCAATTATACTAAAAGCATACAGTAATGTCCAAGTTTAAAGCTTCTGTAATACATACCGCAAAGACCTCGCTATCTTTGTTAATTAATTATAACTTTTTCCTATTTTAACAATCAGTACTCTACTTGAGTATTTAATTTCAAGTAAAATAATTCAATGCATATTTTTCATATAGATGCAAGAATTTGGTACTCATTTTTTCATGTACCGCGTGCAATTCACTGGAGTTCTGAATGCACGTGCATACCTTGATGAAATGCGTGACATTGATGACTTGCCTCTTTTACATTATTCGCAGCAATACGCCTTTATTAACTTGCTTCGCAGGTGGAGATTCAGCGCAGCAAGTATATTTTCATTGGCGAAGGAAAGGATCGAGCCTCTTCTGAATGACGCCAAACCGGGAATTCTTGGTACGTTCATTGACTATAATTAGGATTTTCTTCGAATAAAATATGTGTTATGAAAAATGCTAAATAAGAGTAAAACTTGCGATTCGAAAGTTCATCGATTACTTTATTACTTAATGACAGCCAATGATTGTCAATAAATGAATAACTATTTCGCCTAGAGCCTATTGGATTATCAGAAATACAAGAACCTCTGATGATAGTACATATTAGCATGAATGGAATAATCGATTTGTGTAACGCGATTTAGATTTCTCTCTGAAATATCCAAAGGCGATGAGCCATTAGATAATTAGAGTTCGATGACGTCAATGCGCATTATCCTAATCATTCTCTTCTACTACGTCGTTCGATAATGTGGTTGAAAGGTGAAAAAGATCAATCCAATGTCTATGGATATATCTATGCGTAGCCAAGGAATTTGACTGAATACAAAGTAGAATTGACTATACATACATAATAATGGGAAAGCAGAAAATTACAGTTATCATTTTTTTAAATGTTTGTTTTCTGTCTTCTTTGTGACCTACTTTTTGTATGAGATTCTTCCACCCGTTAATTAAAATTTATACATTACAGGCCCATTGGAATTGAAAGAACTCACGCTGGGCGAACAAACTCCCTGCGTCACTCGAGTACGAACTTTGAACTATAACAATGATGATGACATGCCGGGTAGTTGTCCTGGTCTTACTAAGTTATTGGTAGAAGCTGATTTGCGACTTGATTGCGAGCAATTTCGAATGCTTATCACAACGAGACTCTTTGGAAAAGGGTTAGTTTTAGTCCGATCATATAATTCGACGTGTTATGAAGTAAATTGTGACCGAAGATTTTACCATATTTCAGCATGGGTATGGATGTTGATGTGGCTGTTGAGAAACTTTCACTATCGGGCACAATTCTCGCAACACTGACGCTAAATCCTTTAGCGCCATTTCCTCATATAACTCATCTCAGCGTGAGTTTTATCGAGAAACCTGACGTCTGGTTCAGCGTTCGCGTACTGCGCGCGGTTCAGATGATGGAAGTGCCTCTGGTAAAGACATGGATCCGTGCTGTGGTATCCGATGCTTTGGACAGTTGGTTGGTGGATCCAGGGCATCTCGAATTGGACCTCAGGGCTCAGGAAAGACCTGGTCCAGGTCTGGCCTCTGTCGCGAATACAATTCCTCAGGGCGTACTTACAGTTACACTTAATCAGACAGGCTGCTCGGGTAAGATTTTTATTGCATGATTGTGTATATTTTATGGTATACCATACACGACTGTATGATGCTTTTGTCATATCAGGGCAAGCTGCCGATGAAGTAAGATGGCTGGTGGTGACGATTGGCGAGCAAAAATGTACGACTGCACATCTTGGATCAACGTGGACGGAAGATGTATCGTTCTTAGTTGGCTCTTTGGATAACGAGAGGATCACAATTAAAGTTAAGACCAAGAGACTCGTTAGCACTATTACATTAGCACAATTCGAGCTGGCATTAGGAGTGTACAATTGGGAGAATTCACCGATGTGAGTCTTAAATCTGGGCCTTTAATATATTGTTGTGCTTTGACATTTTGAAGATTGAAGTTTCGACATTATTTTTTTGGTAATGTTGAATTTATTTTTACAGCATCGAGACCGTTCTACAGCAGAAGAAACCATCGCGAAATAGTTCCAATATTCCCAATATAAACGCCAGATTGGAATACACAACGCTTCCGAATATGGAACCGGATCTACCACAACCGGACGTACACGAAGAGAACTTGCATCCTGCTGGTATGCGTAAATGTTATATATATAAAACTAATCGACTCGCGTATCAGCGCGCTCTGGGGATTTGACGATACTTTCTGCGTGCTGCGTTATACTTATGGTTGTGGTATTTGATATTTTCAGTGACTCGAAAAAATTCATACAGAAAACAAAAAGCAGGTAAACTACAATGAAACGAGAACTTGATTCGCTATGTTATTCTAGGCACGATTTTACACGGCTCGTTACGTTATTGATGCACTCGAAAACACATAATATTGAAGCTACATATATATTGTTATAAAATGTTGCCTGTTCAAATATTAGAAATTTGTAATATTTAAATTCTAATTAACATTAATTATTTTCTGCCTTTCTAGGAGTTTTAGTGGTTTACATCCATTCCGCTGAGGATCTTAATAGCGATGCATCTCAGTGCAATCCCTATTGCATGCTATTTAATAATCGTAAAAAGGTATATGAATATGATAAAATACTCGAATGATGTAGAATTTTTAAAATATATTTCGTAAAACAGTATAACGGTGTAAAAATCTATGTATTTCAGGTAAAAACGACTCATTACATACGCGGGACTACCGCGCCACGTTGGGAAACTAGGGCTCAATTTCTCGTTCAAGATTATACTCAAGTCTCCTTAAGTTTCGTCATTTGTTCATGGAATATATCGAAAATGGCCGACACGGACATGCTTGGACTCGCAATGCTGTCATTGACACAGGTAACAGGAATTTTCATACCGGTGCTACAGCCGTAGAGAAATTGACACGTGCATCTCTGACTGGCTTTCTCTTGCAACAGGGTTCGACTTGGATCGTGAGAAAGGAACTGACTCTCAGCGGTTCAAACAGCATGTCAACATTAACAGTATCTGTATTATTTTATCCCGTGACAAGTGTACAACAAGTGATGACTAGTCGGCGAAGTAGTATAGTGCCACCAGCTTCGGACGATGAACCGAAAGCTAAAAGAAATAGTCTTCCTTGGATGCAGCAAGCAGTTAGTGAATATATTTATTGTCATTGTTATATTCCTGAGGAGAGGAGATAATATTTAACGAATCAATGTCATTTTTAGAAATTACTTTTGACGCATCGAGACGCGGACATCGCGTCTTCAGATATTTCTAGTTTACTCTCCACCGGAAGTGGTCTGATGGAAGTTACGCTTTTGAGGGCCAAAGATCTGGTTGCTAAAGATCTGAATGGATTTAGCGATCCATTTTGCGAATTGAAACTGAATAATGAGACCAAGTACAAGAGTAGTATCAAGAAGAAGACATTGAATCCTTGTTGGGATGAAAGTTCTATTATGGGATTGCCAAGAGCGGGAGAGACATTGGATGTTGTAAGATAACAAATTTCGAGTAACGATATTTATTTATTACTGTTAATAGATATTTTACAGTATGTCTTTTTGCACGATTATCCTTGCAGATGTTGTGGGATCATGACACTTTCGGTATGAGGGATTATCTTGGAAAAGTATCATTGACTCTAGAAGACATCAGAAAACTGTCGAGTACAGATCAGTCCCATTGGTTTCTTTTAAGAGGAACCAAATCGGGATCTGTGGAGCTGAAAATTAAAGTTCTCTCAGAGGAATGCGAGGTACCTTAGCGATTTTATTTCGTTTTATTGTTGGAATCACCATTTTACTGTTTTATTTCTCTTCCGTTTAGACCCAGAGTACTTGCGCTGCCAGTAACGCCAGTGAAATTTCGGCAAGGCCAAATATAGATACCGAAACAGTATCGAATATTATTCGAAGACCCTCTATGGAAAAGTCGAAAATGCGATTACATTTAGAACCACCACCAGTGATACCACCACCACCGCCACCACGAACTGTCACTTTGATGAAACCAGCAGCTTCCACTTATTCCGGTACATTTCTATGGCTTATTTAACATTAAAAATTGTTTGATCCCTTCCAAAATATTACATATGTATTTTTCTATCGACATATTAACGGACATCGATTTTATCATTTCCTTAACAATAGACAAAAATAGTACCACCAGCAAAGAATCTGGTGAATTAAATGGTTTAGCAAGTTCTTGGGTACCGCCAAGAGCGAACACGGAATCAGCCGATGACACGGTAGACGAATTAGACACGAGAAAAGTAAACGAAAGAAGATCGTCCCATCACAGTTTATCTCCCAGTCCTGAACAAAGTTTTGGAAAGAAGATGCCACAGTACAACAGTTTCCGAGTGATGAAGCAAAAGGTACTTTGGCATTGGGTTTTCAAACAACTTTGAACTTTCTGTAAAATATATTGAGTTTTTACAAAAATTGTTTCGTATTGTTGCAGGTCAAAAGAGGACTGAAACTTCGCCGATTTCGCTCAGAAGTTAATATAGAAGACAAGAGTGACACTAATAAAGGAGTATCGCTTAGTTTAGAACCAAGAGGTGGTGGGGAAGCTGACGCCACGGAACTTCTACAGGGTGCAGGACTGTCTCATGCAGTCTCACAGCCAGATATGCTCGGCAGAATAAGACCACTTAGTCCACGATTAAGGATAAGACCCAATGGTAGCTAAACTATCTACAAATAATAGACATCTTCCGACATAAAGTATTGTTATATTGTCTTCTCGTGGCTTAGAATTGAAGGTCATCAATGGAACCAGGGAAAAATATTCTGGAATCGAGGGTAAAGTACTGCAGGCTCAAGGACTTCATGTAGCGCACATTGCACAACTTTATTGTCGAGTGAAATTTCAAACGTACGTATATAACCGAATTATATATAGAATAAAAAAGTTAATATCGTAATGCATAATGGACAGGTGTACCAGTCCTGATAAAATCTCAGCAACGACAAACGGTGGTAAAACAATAGCAAAGTCACGACTTTTACCAGCTATGCCCAATCCGCAGTTTAGCATAGACTTTCAGCTTGAGGGAAACAATGTCCCGCGGCAGGCTGCATTAATCTTTGAAATAAGAAGCGCCAGTAAAGAATTGTTGGCAAGTCGACGAATAACTCTTCATGAATTGTTAGGTAAATCAATTAAAATAAACATTTATTTCGTGGCAAAGAAGCGTCTCGAGCGATACTCGGACATGAAGTTGAGAAATTTTTATTTTTGTTCTTTAGGAGCTTCAGCTGCCTCTAATGAAATTCATACGTGGTTGGCGTTGAACAATGGCGCATCGATCGAAGTGCAAATCGCTCATGGTAGGGAACTCAAGAACAAATCGACAAAGAAATTATTTCGATCCTGGTCCGTTCATCGAATTGGGAAGATATGAAAGCAAATGAAAGTCAGTATTCTCTGACGTTAAATTATTCCTGCGGGATATGGGGATCGATATATTTTGATTCGCTGTCTTACTGATATTATATAATGCGGTACGTCAACTGCGTTAGTCGTTTTGTGTTCATTATGTCTTTTCAAAAGATTATCATTGCCCCATGACAAATTTAATATTTAAATATACTGTACTTACTTTTCTGTGTGTATATAATGCAAAGCTCATATAATGTCATTCCGTAATATGTAATAATAAGATTCTTCGCTGTATATTTTTGTCGGAGAAATCTCAGTGTGACTACACCTCGTGACGCGTATCGGAAAGGGTTAGAAAAAAAAATACTTAAAATGCTCCATTCATCGTCCATGACCCTAATTAAAATAGAATAGAATGTGTCGATACAAGAATTTTTATTTATAAGAATCTATTAATATACTACAAGAATAATATAATATAATATAGATTTTTAATATAAAAACGTACAAAAATATACATATATTCAACAGATATTGTACAGCATGTGGATATTGTTCTCTTCGTTGCGCGTCGTAATCGAAAGTGAATTAAATAAATAAACAAATTAAATTTCTTCCATTCTACATTTCTCGTTTATAAATTTACAAAAGTTACCTAACTACCTTTTGTTTTTCAAAGCAGGTTAATTTGAGTTTCAAAGACGTAGGTATCTGGTATATACTCAAGTGCATTGTTATTCTAGTTGGATTATCCTTGAGTACGTTTGTGTTTGAACCACTGGAAATGTAAGAAATTTAAAAATTTAACATACACATTGGGGTGAGAATTCTTGGGAAGTAAAATATAAGTAATTTTAAGGTAGCTACTGCGCTGCACACTAGTCAAATGACGACTACATTTTTACAATGAAACTTCCAAAATGATATGTATTAACTGGCAGTAGTGGAGAGCGATTTCTATTACAACACGTGTCCTTAACTTAGAGAACTATTAATAGCAATATATTTGATAAATCATTAAGTAATCAATGCTAATTTCCAATAAAGGTACATTTTCGTCGAGTATTTTCAAACATAAACCATAGTTTGTATCGATTTTAATGTGTCATAGCTCATTCTGTTTCTCGAAAGTTGCTCCACAAATTCACCATGTAAAATGTTTGTAGTATTGATCATGTCAATACTGTAAAAAGTCCATTTGGCGAAGTCGTAGAGCAACTTTCAAAAACAGAATAAGACGTAGTGCATTAAAATCGGTACAAAATTACGGTTTATTCTTTGAAAAAACTCGAAAAACTCGCGTCCTCCCCTTGTTAGTGTGCAGCGTAGTATCTATCTAAATGTAAAATAAAATTTTGGTTAATAATACCCAAGTAAATCCCGCTATCACAGCAGCTATTACTATAATTACAATGCCACCATAAATAACAGAGCTGTTAACTGCAAAATGAAAAAAATAAAAACGTTGAGTGTTATATATTTCACAGCGTATCGATCATTACTAACCAAATGAATGACGTAAAGCTCTTTTTGCCATATTGATTTTGATGAGGTGTTAAAATATACTAGTATTGCATACGATGTGGTTTATGTCATATATGATTTCATATAGTATACAATCTTTTTAAAACATGAAATTTTCATGATATGTCACTGTCCGAATTTGTTTGTTAAAAATGACACGTTTGTGATTTTCTGTTTTGACGAATGTCATTTTTTTTTTCTCAACTAAAAACTCAGTTATACTAAACCAGAGTGTATTCTGAGTAAACTTAAGAAATTGTAAATGCCATGAAATTTGTATTAATTGACGTATGTAACAAGGTTGCTTGACGTCAATGCATATTTTTAACTTATTTGAAAGGAATCGAAATACTTGGCTACAAAGTTTGACTATTCTTTTCGTCTCAATTCGAATTTTCGAAAATGGTCTACGATGCAGCTTTGTATCGAGATGTGTCGACTGAATTGACGTAAATGAAAAGTTCACAATGAATGCAAAACAAAGGATTGTCTTTTCACGACATGTGCTGCCACATGAGCATCGATTGGATATTGATTTGACTGTGGGGTGAAGAGAATGAATTACACGAGAACTATAATCGCATCATAATTGCTATGGTGATGGCATCAATAATATATACACACAAATGTAGAGGTTCTCAAAAAGCTTAAGTACTAAGTTTATAAGAACATTTTTTTTTTATTCTGAAGTGCACTACCCATAGTCCAATCTTGGATTACTGATATCATGTACTAAAATTACAAATTAATAGCAACCTCTAGTTGTAATTCCTTTCTAAAATTGTTACTGATAGTTGTTCATACGCAACGGGTTTCGTGTGCAAAAGAGAATGTATATTGTGAAGATGTATTTCACTAAATGAAAAGTGTCAACGCGAATATGACAACCGTTAATACTTGTTACGTATCGATAGCTATGTGTAGAGCATTGAAAGTTACAAATAAAATTTATTGAACTCGTGGAAACGTGTGACTATATGTTTCAACAAGGACAAAGTAATCATACGTTATTTTCGAGTGGTTCACTCTTAGTGGTTCATAGGGTTCAGAAAAAGGAACTTTGTCAGAGTACAACTGGAATGTCCTCAGTTCACGTTCATAGGAAGTATTGAAAATCGGTAAGTGGCTAACAAGGAAACCCCCCCAACCCGACCCCACCGATTTCAATAATTTTTTGATATGTTGTAGTACTCGGCAAAATAAGAGACACGTATTTTTTTTTTGTGCTGACATCCACTTTAAAGGGTGAAAACGACCCCTGAACTTCACCTCCGAAAATCGTTTTTTTATCATATCTCGACTTCTAATTAATATTTTTTAATAAAACCAAGTGGAAAGTATTTGTCATAAGAAGTCGAAGATATGAGGTGTGTTTATGACCCAAGGGGTTGCAACCCTTATTTTATATTTTGAAAAAATGCATAAAAAAGCATAAAAAATATAGTTTTTTCAAAATATAAAATAAGGGTTGCAACCCCTTGGGTCATAAACACACCTCATATCTTCGAATTCTTATGACAAATATTTTCCACTTGGTTTTATTAAAAAATATCAATTAGAATCTGACATATGATAAAAAACAATTTTCGGGGGTAAAATTTAGGGGTGGTTTTTATCCCTTTGAAAAATCCTGAAACACCCCAACTGAAATATTTGATGGAGTTAACGGAAACGCTTTTCTTTATTTTTTTGAGCCCATACCCCGGTTTTTATGCAGAAAAAA